GAATTTCAGTGTTTTAGTTTATATTTCTCTAACATCTAGAGATGTTTGAACATTTTTTCATGTTTATTGGTTATTTGTAATTCTTCTGCTGTGAAGTGCCTATTCATTTCAGATGTCCATTTTTGATTGCACCTTTTATGGGGAGTCTAATTTTTTTGAGTTTTTACTGCAGATGTTATTCCTCTACCCAATGAATAACTGGCAAAATGTTTTCCCATTCTGGAGGTTGTATTTTCATTCTGTTGATTGTTTCCTTTGCTGTGAAGGTTTTTTAAATTTAATATGATCCCATCTGCAGATCCTCAGCACTATTTTTGTGACATTGGGGCTCCATCATAAAGCCCTGGGTTATGCCTGTTTTCAAAAGTTTTACATATTTGATTTTCCAGCAGATTGTTTTGTTTTAACATTTAGGTTTTTGATTCACTTTGATTTTCATTTAGTAAATGGTGAGAGATATGGGTCTAGAATCAGTCTTCTGCAAGTGGATATCTAATTTTCCCAGAACCATTTATTAAAGAGGCAATCTTTCCTTCAGGTATACTTTGGCCTTTATGTCAAATATCAAATAGTGGCATTGCCTGGGGTTGTTTCTGCTTCCTCTCTTCTGTTCCACTGATTTGCATGTCTGTCTTTGTGCCAGTACCATGCCATTTTTATCACTATAGCATTGGTGCATAACGTCTAATCTGGGATTGTGATGTACTCTGCTTTGCTTTTGTTACCCAGGGTTGTTTTTTCCTATTCCAGGTCTCTTTCGGTTCTATATGAATTTTAAGATTACTTTCTTTAGTTCTGTGAAGACTTGTGTTGGTACTATGATTGACACTGTGTTAAACATGTGTATCAGTTTTGGAAGTATGGCCATTTTGACAATATTGGCTCTGCCTATCCAGGAAAAGGTTTTATCTTTCCATTTTCTGATAAGCTCTTCAATTTCCCTTTTCAGACTGATGTAATTTTGGTTGGAGAGGTCTTCCACCTAATTGGTTAAGGAAGTTAATTGGTTGCTACTTCCTCATTATTTAATTTTTCTTGCTGTTACTGTTTTCAGAATTTCCTTCTCAGTGAGTTTACAACTTGTGCACATGAATGCTGTTGATTTTTGTGCATAGTATACTACTGCACTTCTTCATTTGGTTAATTCTAGGAGCCTTTGGTAGGAATTTTTGGGTTTTATATGTAGAGGGTCATGTCATCTGCAAATAATGATTTTTTGACTTTATCCTTTTCTATCTATATCCCTTTTCTTTCTTTCTTTTCCTTGATTGCTCTGGTCAAAGTTTTGAGGACTATATTGAACAGGAGTGGTGATAGTGGACACCCTTGTGTTGTTCCTGATTCTAGAGGAAAAGTTTTCAGTTTTTCCCCATTTGGTATTATGTTGGCAGTGGGCTGTTTATAAATGGCTTTTTATCAGATTTAGATAATGTTCTTCTTATTTTCTGTAGGGTTTCATCATGTATGCATGGTGGATTTTATCAATGGACTTTTACAGTCTATGCATTTTTCAATATACTGATTCCAGCAGCCTCTGTGTTGGAGTCATAATCCTATCACCTCACCTGTACTCAAAGCAAAGGCATTCTTGTTTTGGGACAGGGCTGCTGCAAAGTGCTCAGGTCCATCTTTCCCACCCCCACCCTGCACATGGCTGTGGTACAACTCATTACTTTTGCTGTGGCAATGGGCTCTCAATCAATGCCATCCAGGTCATTCTATAGTTAGCTGGAGGGCTCCTATTAAATAGCCTTTCTTTTCATCTCTGCTCATCTGTATAAAATAAAACTAACCAGGGGATGAAGGGAAGATGGATGTGAAAGAGATGTGCACTCGATTTGCTCAAGTGCAGTGCCTCTGGCGAACATTCTCACTGAAATGAATTTTGTGGGGTAAGTCCTATTAGACACCTTGCTTTATAAGTACAGTAGCCTGGATTAACCTGTCTCAGGATTTCCTTTTTCTTTCTAAGGTTGTCAGGTACAGCCATAGACAGAATGTACTGCCAAGCCATACTACCAATCAGAGCAATGATTTTGAAATGTGCCAAAGGTACTGGCAGCTCCAGCCACATGGAGTAAAAAATGAAAAAGAGAGAAAAAGAAAAGATGCAGTGCTAGTGAGAAAGAGATGAGAAAGAAGAGAGAGGTGGGCTCAGAAGAGCACATGAAGGAAAGACATGATGACCATTTTCAGAGTGGAAAACTTCACTGTGCTCAGGCTGTGGTTATTTCCCCACAGCTCTGTGAGATCCATTTTGCCCCAAAGAGGCAAAATTGAAATAGGTTAATGAAATGTCACCAAGTGCAACTAGCCAATCAGTCTCCCATGAAACCATGGCTGGTCCTCTCATTTCAAATACTACTAGCAGCCCTGCACAGGCTTTGGCCCTTTCACGGAATTAGGTGTAGATTCACTTCCTTATTCATGTGCCAGATCCAATGACTAAAAGTTATGTCTTTCCCCTTTTCCAAACTATCATCCTTTCAGGGCTATGAAAACCAGAAGTAGAACTACATGGGCAAGATGACCACTACTGTTTTCCATGTATTGGGGATCAACCTTCTTATCATCTTTTCCCAGAGTCCAGGCTGGATGACACCTTGCCTGAGGGCTAGAAAAGAACACTCTCTACAGAAATACAGCCCATTTCTCTTGGACCAGGAAAGTTGTAAATCTTACATTTTGTAAAGATATACCTCTCAGAAAAGCCAGAGTATAAGATTAAAATTAAGTACTATTCATCCTTGTAATGAAGTAGGAGTGGTGTCTGCATATTTAATTAAATTACTTCTCCCTCACTCTATCTGCTTCAAGGAAATAACCTCCAAGACCTTGAACTTTCAAAATCCTAGTCAACCAGGAAAACCAGCTCACTCCCTCTACCCTCCTAAGTTTAGTTTTTATGATCACAATATGGATCTATTTTATTGGTGTTTTGAGACAAGTTATCACTTTATATTCCAGGTTGGCCTTGAACTTGGAGCAATCCTCCTGCCTCAGTCTACTGAGTGCTGGGATTATAGACATGTATCACCATGCTGGGCTTATAATATGGATAATTCTGTCTGCATATACTCTCATCACATTATTTTTAAACATTTATATACTAGAATGATTTTTTCTAACCCCAAAGGATTTCTAATAAAGCTGTGGATGATGAACAGTCCGTATTCATTGGTAGTAATGGCAAAGACCTTTAAACACTGAATTCACTACCTAAAATATTAAAAAGCATATCATGCTCTAGATAACCCAACAAAAATTTAAGTTGTGAGATTTTCTTGATAAGCTTTCACAGGCCCCATCATTCTCAAAAAACATATTAACTGGAAACAGATTCCAAATTTTTGCCTTCCTATTGTTTTCCTATGGGGATGATAAAACCCTAGTGCAACTTTGTTTTTGCTCTGAGAAGTCCAGTATCTGCCAGGTACAAGGACCATGTGGTAGAAAAGAAGGGGAAGATCACATGACATTTCAGATAGGTCAGTAACTGCTAATAATGCATCGTTGAGAGGTGAGCAGTGTATAAAAAAGTGCTACTACCTCAAGTGGTGTTTTTTTCTACTTATCTATGGGGGGGCTAAAGAACAAAGGGAGGTTGTGTAGAAGACTATATTTATTGTCTTGGAGCAGTGACTCTTGGACATCCGGGAAAAGCTTTTGAGAGAAATACATTTCATAGTTTTGATACCATGAAGAACGTGATCTCCAATCCTGGAATGCCACTATTGGATATGTGTCCACTACAAACACTGTTCTGAATTCCTGTGCTTATAAAATAGAGGACTAGAAGATGATATGGTAATTTTGGACCAACTCTCTCATCCTAACACAATGAGAAGGTAGTGATTAAGCTGTAAAATGTGGACAGGGTTGTGATGTGAGTTATATTTATAATACATTAATTGGCCTCAAAGTGTTTAAGATTTGTTTTTCAGCCAGAACATAATTTTCCTTGTTTTTTTTAAAAAGCTGGATTAATGGTAACTAGTGCTGTACACACAATCAGAAATCATCACAGAGATTTCAAGATGCCTGTTATTGAATGTGTGGCTCTCGGGCCAGTGTCAAATAATTTTGGGAAGTACAATGTAAAGCAGTTCTCACATTTGAGTGCGCATGAGACACCCACATGGGACAGCTCGCTAAATACAGCCCATGGGCTCTACACCTCAGGTTTCTGATTCTGTAGCTTTCAGATGGAGCTTCAGTATTTGTATTTCTATTGGGTTCCCCAGATGCTGACGGCACTGCTGTTGGTTTAGGGACCTCCTCACTGAGGATCGTGGGGATGTAGGGGCAGAGGATTTCTGAGAATTCTTCCTTTGTTTAACCATGAATTTATATGTGCATTTGTATATTTCCATATCTATATATGTTTATATAGATATACATAAGTTTATGCAGTTATAGAGGTTAAAAGTTGGAAATTAGTTTGGAGGAATGACTCAATTATTGTACAGTCTATCTTAGCTAGTATTATGATTGGTATTATTATTTAAGGCTGGAGGACATGGCTAATAATTCTGTACTAGGTAAGAATTTTCACTAAAGCAATGGTATCAATATCTATGGGCTGTGAAAATACTAGTATCCCTATATTAAGAAGTGATCTGTGATGTAATTTGAAAAGTGATCTTCAGTAAAAACAAAACAAAACAAAACAAAAAGGCTTATGGGACACCTCACATTTCTGCTCTGCAGACAACATTAACACACACAAATGTTCATTTGACCTTGCCCACGAACAAAACTCAGAGACTGATTTTATGACCTTCCAAGTTTGGCTTCAAATAAATATATGTTTGCTTTTTTATCATACAGACAAAATAGTTTCCTCAGTCATTTTAATATCGAAATTATCAATCATCTCTCCATCTCCCACTTGCCAGTTAGGAACTTTTACATCCAGCCCCCACCCTTATCTCTTTAGCACCTCCACATTCTATCAGGGTCTTCCTGACCAGGGAAGGGCTTTGGACTCTATTCCTCACCTGTCAGGTTTACTGCTCCATTTTAATGCAGCAAAAAAAGAAAAAGAAAGGCTAAATGTTAGTTGGCCAATGGTAACGAGTAACCATGACAACCAAGATTTTAAAAAAAGTAGTGCACAAAGCAAGGACACATAACTGACACACATTAAGAAATTACAGTGTTTCAAAATACTACAAGGCCACTAATCATTAATTAAATGGAGGACATGAGATTACCTTGCTCAATAAGGAATTTGTGTATGTGCATGTCCACAAGTGCAGGTGTGTATGTGTGTACCAAAGTCACATTTAGTTGTATCCATCAGCTATGAAATACTGCTAATATTAATCATATCCCCAGAGATGTTTGACGATATAGATATAACTTGATTTTCATAAAACATGCCATGAGAAAGCTACAAATATTTTTAATGAAAACACAACAGCATTTCATGAAAGAAATTCATTCATTTGAAATATAAAGTCTCTAGTTAAAATGTGCACTATTCCTCTAATGATATGAAATATCTACAAATTGCTCTGAACTGCATAAAAATTCACAAAATTGAATAATATAACACACGCTAATAAAGTGGTAGAAAGGATTGCTTCATGCATATTTTGACAAGTAAGGCAGCTATAAGTCTTTTTTTTTTCCAATATAGGATTAAACACGTTTTCAGTTTTGAAAAATATAATACTCATCATTATGAATCTAGAGAGCATGACCCATCTATACAGCTGGGCTAATCCAGGCAAGCATTTTATTACCAGTCATTGATAAAATAGATTTTTTTTTTTATCAGAGTGCTGCTGTTGTGGACATATCTACCTCATGCTCAAAGGCACTTTCACCATAATCTGTTGACTGTTTAAATAAACATTTTTTACAGAGACCCTAGCCTTTACTGAAAAGAATCTAAACCACTTTTTGGCAAAGTGCAAAGTAATGAGTTCTCAATGCAAAAATAAAACTACTGAATGTTTAATGTCAATGAGGCATATACCCATGGTGCTAAAATATCTGGAATTATGAAGTAATCCAGTCCATTTCTTACAAAAAAGAGAAAAGGAAAAATCCACATTTAAACTGTACAGACATGTTCACACATACAAGATTACATGAGATTAAATTTAGAGGCTCATTCTTTTTATTCTTAATTTTGAAATGATTTACCTTATATGTTAAGTTAAAAAATTCTACTTTGTATAACTGGCTCATTTCTAATCAATGATTATTAGATTCCAGTGTGAAAAATCTACCTCTCCAGACAGAAGACAGCACGTAGTGAATTAGCAGTTTTATGTATTAAGAGGCCACTTGAGTATTCACATGAATAAATGTATAGTTAACATACAAATCACTTCCTCTGCTGCAGAAATATCATCCTCAGCACATATACGGGCACATACTTGGAGTAAATATCTAAGTCTGGCAGCTTTGAGACCTGGCAAATATCAATTATAGGCCAAGGGTTGTATTATCACAGCTTTGAAAGCTATGAAGAAGGTGATACTGAGTGGCAGAATAACTGGTAGAGGGTAGAGTTTGTGAAATCCAGTTTCATCTGTGTAAATTCATGCATGCAATGGGGTTCTCTGCTGGGCACTCAAACAGGCACAAGAGTTACAGTGAGGAATAACAGAGTATTGACTTACAGTATAATAAAGAATTAAAAATGGACAATTACAGAAGCAGAATAAGCTCTGTAATAAAAAAGTAGAAAGAACTTTCAGGACCCAGCAAAGAAGGCCCTAAAGCAGTGTGAAATGGTAGTGGGGGTACAAGAAAGGCTTTCTCTTAGCATCTTAGTTCACTTCTAAAGTCAGGATTAGGCAGGCTGAACGGAGAGGCTCAGAGTAAGAGCATCCCGGCACAGGGAGGAGTGCAGGCCAAGGCCGGAGGGTAGACTCCATCAGCACTGTCCCTGTGGTTGGATGTGGCAGTACATTTTATACACAGCATTTCAAAATATTCTTGACTGCATTTATTTGATATCTTGGAAATATATGTAGTATTGGTACAACAAAAGGTGACTGAAGAATTAAGGCCAACTTTGGAGGTGGGAAATGCTAAAGTCTGCATTTTAGACACATCTCCCTCCTGGCCTTCGCATATAAGAGATGAGGACAGAAGTTATTTGCTGTCTTCACCATGTCCATTCAGGCTAGACTACTACCATTCAAGAAATGAATGACCTCCAAATTTGTACTCCACCCACACACCATGTAATAAACAATGCTTATCCATCTTAGAATGCTTTCAGACAGAGTCAGGCTAAGGCTTTATTTTTAATTATATATATTTTTATGTAAATAATTCTTGGCAAGTTCCAGAACTGAGGACTGGAAAGCCTTACATATTTATCAGAGGTACAGGGCTGGTGAATACATAAGAAATTTCAATTTCTTTCACAAACTTTAATTTGTGTGGGTGGAGGGATGAAGGGAGGCTGGATTCATACACACACACACACACACACACACACACATGCAGCAATACTGCTTCTATTACCTGGTTTTTGATGTCCTCAGATCACAGGACATTATTATTTAAAGCTTAATCATCTACTCTACCTACTTACTTTATAAATGAGTTAATTAGGCCCAGAGCCTTCGCTTCACTCCTCACTGCACTTAGCCTCAAAGCTGGACTTGAACATGGGTTTCTTGACTCATCTGAGTTTTTGTAAATACGCTGCCTGTTATCCCTAAGGTTTACAGTTTAAATCACTGTACATATCGGGTAAAGAGTGCAAAATTTTTTTAAAAATCACAAACCAAGAAAATTTCTAGCACTAAAAGCCTTCCAAACATATTACAGCTTTCTAATGGTTGAGACAGCATACTAGGGACTTTACAAAGCTTAATGATGTTTTTGTCATTGATTATCAGTGTGTTAGAGCTGCCCAAATTACTACCATAAAACAAAGTCAAATGAATAAAATGACAGGAGACATAATTAATATAGCTCAATGTCTCCATGTCTCCTGAGATAGCTAAATAAAGTGGATTTATATGTACAAACCTTTTATAGTCACTGACCTATTTCTAATACTGGTGTCTTGTAAACAGCCATATTTGATAAAGGGTTTATCAAGACAGTGTGGATCAACACTCTCTTATGTTCATTCCCTCTCATAGCACGATGTGTATGAAGGAAGGGAGCTATTTTAACAATTTTAGTAACAGTAATAAAGCTATTTCAATTGTAAGTTATTATTAATGACCTATGTACAAACTAAAAGGCACCTACAGAGAAGGACTGATATATCAATCTAACTTTGTTCAGAATCCAAGCTGTAAAAGACTCTATTCATTGGGTACAGATGAAATCCTCTGTGCCCAATGACTGCCTCATGATAATCAAGAAGGACATTGTTGGATCTACTTGAACGTCGAGTCAGGGATGTTCTCTACTGCTGAAGCATGCATTTCTATTTCAGAAATGCTTCATGGGCTTTCAGATGGTTAGCTAAATATACTTAGCATTCAAAGATGTGTGCATTTTCCAACAATCGCATTAGACGATGCTTATATATGCATACACTAAAATGAAGCTCTTTTAACAGAGTCATAAAACCTTTAAATATGATGTCTCTTTTTGCAGGATTAGGAAAAATTATAACTGGGTTGATTTTTTTCAAGCACAAGCAGATGAAGCAAAGAAAACTTAATTATAAGTCTTAAAAAATAAAAGGGTTATAGTCCTCAGTTTCTTCAAATTTACATAACTGATTCACAAACACCATATGTAGCGCTGCTAAATGGTATGACTTACTGATAGTCAGGGACACCCTACTGAAGAACACCTTTGAACATGAGGCATGCACTCTGTACATTTTACCCAGGCAAAAATGTCACATGATAGTGTCTAGATATGCACCTGTCAATAGGCATTTGTTTTCTGATTTGAATCTCACAGTAGGATGTCACCATTTGAACAAATGTTTTACCCAAGACAGTTACAATTCTACTTTTTCATTTTATTATTACAATCTTTTCTTGTAAGACTTAATGACCCACAAACAGGAAAGGGATAGCTATTGCTTTGAATTAAACAAGACCCATAATTATTCTGGGACAGGTGAGTAGCTCTGGCCTCCTGCCCTTATCTCTTGCAGAGGAGAGAGGTGACAAAGTACCATGGGGCCTGTAAGGTACTCAGTAATGAAGTATGGATTGGGATGCGATGGTTGGAGAACTCTGACTTTGATCACCACTTTGCAACTATTTTATAGCATGGATAATTGCATGATGGCAGTGGTCAGGAAAAAAAGTAATGATTTTTTTCATTCTAACTCTAAAATAGGTTAGGCAATATAATGAGTTATGGTTATGAACTTCTTTCATTTGTCCTTTGTTTTTAACATGTTTTCTCCATGCAGGAATAAAAGCGAGTGGAGCCTTATGTTATGGTTTATATCTAGATGCCCTTCCTCCCCCTGCAAGTTTCATGTGCTCACAGGTCGGGCTTTTGGGAGGAGGCTGGACTATGAGTATGAGATACTGGATAAAATATGCATGATAACTACATTCATCCACTGATTAGTTTAGGATAGCTCTGGCCGTGGACAATGGGAAGACCGAACCTGGCTATGGTTGCCATCAACAAATAGGCCTGTAGTCTAAATGGAATAAAAAGGGAAGGCAGAAAGAAGGCTGCTGCTTTCTCCTACCTGCTCTGCCATGAACTGTTTCTCCTCTGTGATTTCATTCTGCCATACTATCATGCCTTCGGGTCAGCTGACTATAGACTAAAACCTGTATAAACAATGAGCTAATATAAACCTTTCCTTCCTGAACTTGTGGGTGTCGGGTATTTTGCTGCAGCAAGAAAAATTAACTAAGACATCTTAAAAGAGAGAGTTTTCCAAAGGAGAAGCACTTTAAAGCTTTTTGTTAATTCAAGGTAAGAAGTTATGTGGGGTGCTATTTCAACAATCTAAGAATAAGGAAATGTGGGCAGAGATAATTAATATAAACACCCCAAAGAGAGCTATATGGGCAGCAACAAGAATTAATGTAAATGAGATTATTACATTGAACATGTAAGCAGGAATCAAAATGAAGACTCTATTTGATTCTCAAGAGCAAAGTGATAGGAAGAGAGAGGGAAAAGGGGGATGAGCAGAAGGGGAAGGTAATCTGCACCGCGGCCGTCACAAACACACGCAACACAGGAAAGAAAACGGGAAACCAGACTCAAGTGTGATAAAAACTGCAATCAGAAGAAAATAAATAAATTTGATATAAAGGGAAGTAATTAAGAATTTATTCATTATAAATGTTTAAGAGAATTTATTATATATAAATTTTTCTTTTATATATTGATATTATGATTATAAAATTAAGTCAGAATTTAGGAGAATTCCAAATGTCCTTTACAGACTGGGACAGCACCAAGGACAGGGGGGATCTGGCTTCTAGGAAAGAGAAGTAGAAAAGAATTGCAAAGGACGAAAGACCAGAAAAGACTGTGTAGATCTGGGTTATTTATATTCTAATTCTAGTCAAAAACACTAATAACACTGATAATCAGGAGTATAATGACTAAGGTTATTTTTTTTTAAATTTAAAATGGAAGATGGTATCTTCTCATTTTCCCATGTTGGGCGGAGGTAAGAATTTAATACTGAATATATTGGAAAAGTAGAAAAATGTGGGAGGGAAGAATTCATTTTCTATCTCTTTTTTTAATCTTTACATTTTTGCTACTTTTTTTAAAATCTTGAGCAATAGCTACAGGGAAATACTTCATCATACATGAAAATTAGACTTATAAAATGAACAGAAATATGCACAATTGTAATACTGTTTCAAGATATATTGAAATGGATAATTATCTAAAACCTCAACATGTTCATGGGACAATCTGCTTATGAATGTAGGAATCTCTCAAATGTTATGAAAAGGGCTCATTCTACATAGAGCATCTGGAAGATAGAGCCTAGTGCACATACATCCTGGACAACGAACATCTCTACCACACACTGAACAAGATTCTAAAGAGTGCAGTTTTTACATTTGCTGTATCTCTAAGGAAAACATTTTCCCAGCAATCACTGGGGCTGCCCTACATGAGTTCTACTAAAATCAACCACATGACCATAGAATAATGATAAAGTCCTCAAAAATAAATGAGACACTGTAGTTTCAATGGAAATACTGAGCAAACCTACCTTTTATAAAGAAGAATAGCAATGACAATGCAAATGATAAAGACCACAGCAAGGACAGGACCTACGACCCAGATCAAGCCCTCTTCTTCATCTGTGATTGGCTGCGGATCCAGATCCATCGACACGACAGGGTCAGAGTAGGGGCTGGTTGCATACATCTTCTGAGGAAAAGCAGAATCTATTTTAGTTATAAAGTACTGGCTTTCTACAGTTCATATCCAGCATTAGAAGGAGCAATAGATCTAAGACATAATAGATTTGAGGATAAGTGAATGAAATAATGTTAGTCAAACACAGGGCAAAGGAATGGAGGAAAGAAAGGAAAAGAACAGAAAAGAAGAAGAGAAGAGAGGAGAGGAGAGGAGAGGAGAAGAGGAGAGAAGGAAAAGAAAAGACAAATAAAAAAAGAAAAGGACAAGAAAAGAAAAGGAAAGGAAGGGAAGCAGGGAAGGGGGAGGGGGAAGGGAAGGGAAGGGAAGGGAAGGGAAGGGAAGGGAAGGGAAGGGAAGGGAAGGGAAGGGAAGGGAAGGGAAGGGAAGGGAAGGGAAGAGAATGAAAAGAAAGGAAAAGAAAGTTATGTTAAGTTTGCAATGCTGGTTTCCTTAAAGAGTAAGATATAATAAGATAATTTCTGGAAGTATAAATTAATTCAGAGGTTCTTTATCATGAGGTCTATATGAAAAATATTACATAATTTTATGAAGTGTGAAGGAGCAATAATTAATCAGACATAAAAATACAATAAATATTTATATCATACCAATGTGTTAGGTGATTCATGAGAAGGAAAATATTAAGAGTTTCAGACTCAAAAATATTATAAGCTGAATCCCTTCACTCAAACATCAGAAATCCAAAGTGCTCCAAATTATAAAAAATTTGAGAAATTTCAGAACATTTGATTTCTCTTCATCAGAACAGGGATGTTAAAATAGCAAACTCTGCGCAAATATTTTAAAATCCAAAAATGAAATCGAAAACACTTTCAATCCAAGTACTTTGGAAATGAAATACTCCATCTGTATTACCCAAGTAAAGGAGATCAAGGTTAAATGGCAATATTTATAGAGGAAAATAGTCAGTATTTAATCCGATTTTAAATTGTGCCAGTGCTCATTACTACTGTACATGAGCTGAGAACTAGAGGATAAGGACAAATAAAGTCTGCAGCCTCAAGAGAGAATTCCAGTATTCAAATATGAATGTACGATGTACAGAACAAAAGATGTAGTTTTCTAAAATGTAGAGTTTTTAACATTTAAAGGGATTTAGCAGTTCCTATTTAATTTTATCATAGCTACTATACAGAGTTTGGAATGGTTCCCAAAAGATAGAGGATAACAAATACATTTTCAAAAATATAATTATGTTACTTGGGGAAAGAATGGACTGGATGCCTATAGGATATTTTCGGTGACTTTAGAAAAGTATTCTCTTGACTCTGCACCCTCCCTAAGGCCCTCTCTTTTCCTTTGACTTCACAATTTCAGCAGAGACTAAGCCATATCGAGCGGCTGCCAGGCGGATCCTACCTCTCACTCTTCCTTCTCTTTTCTTTCAAATGCCAACCACTGGCCCTCAAACTCTGTGGTCAAATCCTATCATATTTGGTGTTTTTCCCTCAAGATGTTTTATCTAGATTTCCCATGGCTGACTAAGACTTTTTAAAATGTCTTTCTCTGACTTTCTGAATTCTGTATTCACCCGGCTTCTTCCAAGTCTTTCTCACTGCTCCAGTCCTGTTCAATTACTTGCCCTCAATCCTACCCTATGGGCCACCCTTCTTCAGTTCTGTTCTCCACTCACCTCTCCTCTTGCTATGGAGCCAGGTTTGGACCAGCTTTCATGACCAGGCTCTATGTAGCCTGCTTCCTCATTAATGATCCTAAATTCAGAAAATCTACTAAGTCCTAGAGCATGAGCTACAATTTCCTCTACGTATATGTTTGAATGAAGAATCCCACACATTATTTCCCTGTTGTCCTGATTCATATTTCTAATTTCCCAGTTTCTTTCACGTTCTATTTTGAGATAGAAACTACTGATTTTATCGATAAATGACCCTCAGTTCTTCTTTCTAGTCTCATGGTTACTATTTTTTCTTCAGGATCTCATTCATGCTCTCTTAACCATACAAGGAATTTCTTCCTTTTCCTAACAGTTATTATTATTCCTGCTACAGAATTATTTTTCTAAAGTTCAACTGTAAATCCTTCAAGGAGCTCCATGCAGCCAAAACTTATGTACTTTGGCATGGTTGTCAAGGGCCACCACATTTTGTTAAAAAAAAATTTCCTTACCACATCTAACTACTTATATCACAGTGAACTTTTTTGCTGTTACTCACAGAAGCTCTATCCATGTTCTTTAGCTGCCTTACAAGGGCCACAAAATTTAGCTTTTAAAATACAGCCACTCAGCAAGGTTCCATTTAAATACTGCCTTCTAAACAGGAAGAAATTAGTTGTTCCAAAAACTCCAGGTGAAAAGAAACCAAATGTAAATATTTAATTAATCCTTTATGCCTTTTTTAAGGGTAAACCGAAAATTACTTTTTAATTTCATGTATGCTTCATTTCCTTTAATAAACTATTAAGGCTTTCCAAGAACTGATTCTTGGACTTGGATTTCCAGTCCTGGAAATAAATATACATATTTGGGGTGGGGATGTACAGCTCAGTGGTACAGGGCCACTGGGATAGATCCCCACTATGGCCAAAAAATAAAAACTAATAAAGATTTTGAAGAAGTCTCTCTACTCTTACTTTATAATCAGCTTACCCTTTTTTTCCATTTATTTATTTTTACTTTGGGGTACTGAGGATTAAGCGAAGTACTTTGCATTTACTGGGTTCTCAGCAAATCTTTGCTGAATAAAGTAAAAAGCTCATCTTTTTATTTGGCTGAGATCATCAAGACGTACGTGTACATGTTTCTTTTTCATGATCAGTAAATAGAGTTAGTTTTTCAGACCTGCATCTTTTAAAAATACATTTTGTGGCACGCGTTCTGCATTTCAGTTAAAGATCAGCAGACAGGAGGAGAACACCTGCCCCACTGACTCTTGCTTCCTATTTTTTTCACTTGCCTGGGAAAATGATTGATGAGACTTTCAGACTTTCTCAAAGAAGATGAAGACTTGTATATTTCCAACCTTCTCAGAGGCAGAATACAGAAAGGAAGGAAAGAAAAGAAAAGGAGGCAGCAGAGTGGAGGAAGAGGGGATGGATATACACTGGTAAAGGAACGGGCACAAACCGCTTGGCAAAGTGACTACGTATTCAAGCAACACAATTCCCTATGGGAATGACTGTCTTCATTTATACTCTCTCCCCCCATGTCGTAGGTTTCACTGCCGAGGTTGTGTGGTTATACAGAAGCACAATTTGCTGACTTGAATGAAATTCTTTACCAAGAAGTTTGTGATAATAATCTTGGTTAATCAACATGGAAATGTAAGCAAAGGTCTCCCCAAAGCACACAGATTTCCAGCCCAAATCAGGAAATGGAGCAGTGTGGAAATGCAAAGGAAACAAAGCTCTAAAATTCCATGAGGCTCATGGAAAATTGAATTTGCTCAGTAGGAGGGACTAAAGGAAGAAAGCATACCTTAAATAATTCAAAACCAGTTCTCTGACATTCAGTGTGCAAGGAAAAGCTCAGTGTCTGTTGGGGGAGGAGATGAAGAATGGAAGTATTCTGTCTGCGAAGGGCTAACCCCCCCAGAAGTGGTAATGCACATTACTGAGCGTCGGTCCTGGGAATCTGAAGCTTATGAAAGGAGTGTGTCACTGCAAACCTGATACTGGTTGAATACAACTCTTGTCTATAGCGTAAATGTGGAATTGCTTCTCAGCCTTTTGGCTAAGATCAAGTGTAGTGTAAAGGAAAGGCTGGGCTGCACACGCGCTACTATATGAATTGTAGGAGAAATAGTGATTATTTCAAGAGTGACATCAAGAAATGTGATGAAGGAAAAGGGCAATGAAGAACAAATCTAGGGGGAAAATCTTAATTCTTTTATGTAACCAATGAAGCCGGGAGATGGCACACTGAAGACAGGACTGTTTATCAGACGCAATACATTTAAAAATGGGTGGAAACCTCTGGAAGGCATCAGAAGCCAGCCTGTGAGGGTGGTGCAGTCAGTGTGCATGCTGAGATTTCTCCCTCTGGTAGATTCTCTCATCTACCTCCATGTTCTGAATGTGCTTTCTGAAATGTCCATAGAGCTATTTAAAGAAAATTCCTCTTAAGTACCTAGGGATTTTTTTTTTTTTTAAAGAAAAAGACGATTTCCAACATCCCACTGCTTTTGATGTTCTGTCTTAAAACCTTCAACTAGAAAGAGAAAGCATAGCTGTGCATTAAAATTCCAGGCAGGGTGTCACTGTGTTTTAAAGTGACATTCTACGCACAAAGGTAAACCAGACTGCCTTTGTGCTTTGATTTTCCACAGGGGAATTCCTCCAGTCATCTGCAGAGAGGCCCCAGTGTGCACACTGACACCTGATGGGGAGAAACCTTTGATACATCGCAGCCTTCGGAAGCGCAGAAAGCACCTAATACGACTGAGTTGCCACGCCTGTCAGACTCAGGCCCTGATTAGAAAGCTCCCCTTCGCAATATGTACGTTAAATGTTAATGTAAACTGCCACTTCCAAATCCGCCCCTCTTCTAACATCTACAATCTCTTATCCTCTCTCTTTTTTAAACATTCAAAGCAACTGAAGCATAAAACGACATAAGAGCAAGATGAATTACATAAAAAAGACAACTTATTATTTAGAGTACGTTAGGACTTTTCTTTTTATTGAATTATTTTCTAACTTTCTTTGCTTTTCACTGATAAAGCCCCTTGAAACTGCTGCAATTAAAGAAGCTGCTTGTTCTGCCCTGCTCTCAGGCAGACCTTCCCGTGAATCTGGGAAGAAACACAAGGGCTGCACTAGCAAATTACAGGGGAATAAATGCAACTACTTCCAGTCGGCATTCTCAAATATTTGGAAATGCACTGTGCTAAATTATAGCTTGTTAATTGTTACTGTAATCACACAGGGGCTATGTCTACCAGGTATTACCTAAGGGAGAAGAGTATTTTTTTCCCATAGGTATCATTAATTTATTTTATTTTATTTTATTTTTTTTGAGAAGAGTATTTTTTTTAATACTCATTTTAAGTGGATAAGGGGTGGAGACTAAGTGATGATATTATACCTTGTAAAGTGCGTTACACTGACGGGTCTGAACAACTATGCCCTATCAGTGTGGACTTTCATATAGGAGAAATCCACCTAAATTTGACAGCCTATTATTACACCACAGTAAATGACAGCTCGTGAGAAATGGGAAGGATGTACCTCCATATCCCCCAAACCTGGGCAGCATAGGGGTGAAAATGTGTAACCACAGCACAGGAAATGCCATGTGAATTAACTTACAGACTCTGCATGCTCCATCACGGCTAACACAAAGAAGACGTATTCTTGACCACTCTGGAGTTGCTTGTTTGTAAATCCACCGTAATGTTTGTCATCCCCCAGGGTAAACTCAGTGGGAAGGACATCAAAGTGAGCTGCGATATATGGCTTTAATTCAACTTCTCGCCCATAACGAATGCTTCTGCGTCTCCTAGATATCTCCTTAAGTAGCTTAGGGAAAAAAAATGAAGAAGAGAAAAAGAACTATAAACAACTCAAATTCTTGAGAGTTTAATAGGAAAAATTAACTTAAGAATGAGTGTAAACCACATAGTTTGTTCACATTTCATATAGCATGCCAGCATCACTAAATCTCAGGTTTTTCGATATTCAATGCTTGTCTGCTTGTCAAGGTAAGATACGGGGCAGCTTTGGAAGGTCCAGTGTATAAACACAGGGCGACTGCATCTTTCCTAGATCCCCGTATCATTTCTACACCAATTCTCTTCAAGAATAATAATGCATTATAACTTCTCTAAAGAGAAAAGTCAGTTTGGTTCAAAAAGCTTGCCTTGTAGGAGATCTATTGAAAAAGTAGTAACCTCGGATAAAGCCATCTTAATCTTCAATGGGGCCACATTTTGGGAGAAACTATTGTTATTCATAGGGCATTTAGCAATTTCATAATTCTCTCAAATAAAAGAAGCAGAATCTAATAAATAATTTTAGATTTACATATATTGTCAGTCATTTAAAAATTCCTGGCTCGATCTGCCTTCTTGATTAACCGGTTGGTGTGGGGTTCCTCACACTCTATCACAGACTCAGCTTTTCGTCTCTGGGGACTTTGAAGAGCTTGTTGAGTGACACATATAGGGTAGATAAAAAGTAATTTCCATATTATCCTGAGGAAAACACACCACACATATACACATCCTTCTTGTATTTCTAAAATTAAAAGCCATTTGTTTTGAGATAATCTATGGTTTTCTATTGATTCTTTTACTGGAAGAAAAATCATATTAATGATATGCTATGATAATTGATTTCAAATGCTATCAAAGTAACCTTTGTCACTGTCTCTCGACATATTGGTATTCGAAAGCACTTAGGAGGGAAAAAGTCTATCAGTTTGGCATGCCTCTTGAAGTAAGTGACACTTTTAAAGTTTGTTGAAAAAAATTTTTATTTTTTGGTTTAATTTCTGTGCAGAAAAGGCTACATATCTGAGGATAAACTGGAAAAAAGCTAAGTATCTGAGGGCAAACCTTGTCTTCATCTTGAAAAACAAAATTAAGGTTTTTATGAAAAGTTGGCATCAAAACTAATTACTACCCTCAAGTTTGTAAATGGAACAGTATAGTAAAAACCAGAACGTATTCTGAGGAGGCTGGGATTCTGGCAGAATGAAGGGCAGGCTTTTGTGATATGATGGCTGAGACGGTATCTCTGAGGCACATAGCACCCTTCCACTAGGAATCTGATACATTACTCTCTGTGCTAAGAGTTGCAAATACACTTAGCTGGTTGACCCTGTAAAGGAGAAAACAGTGTTCTGCGACCAAGTTATTTGTTGATAATATTTAATTTACAATGCTGTAAGGTTTCCTGTGAAATTTGAATTTATTAATGCAATGTGAATATGTGAAATGTAAGCTGTTGAGGAAAATCGCAGTAGAGTGGACATGATCAGTTTGGTAAATGAGGACCATCAAATGATAGATTCTGGTAGTTGGAACAACTACACACTTGTAAGTCAGTAAGCAGCAAAGACAGAGTTACTACTTCCTGTCAGTTCTGATGTCAAATTGGTATTTACTTATAATAATGATAATGCTGATGATACTAATTACCACTTATAAAGCACTTACTAAATGTCAGATGCTGCTCTAGGAAGCCTAAATATGCAATAAATCATTTACCCATCATAACAATCCTGTAACATAGAATGCAATGATCCTCATTTGTAAATGAGGAAACTGAGGCACAACAGAAAGGCACAATGTATAATTAGACTCAGTGAATAAAATAAAATAAATGACGTGAGAGATCATCTCAATCTGATTTTTATTAATGATCCCACCAAAAAAACAAAAACCAAATGGTACATTTAAACTCTGATCATCCAAACTGTCTAACTCAGTTTGTATTTTTGTGTATCTCTTTCCATTAACACAGATGAATGTTTTGTTTCCTCTTCCTGGATTCTTTAACATGCTAATTTTTAAAAATTCTGATGCTAAATATTTAATATTATTCTTAAAAATCATTACAAAGGCTATTGCCGAAGTGCAGTAAATGATGATAGTGCATTACTTTGAGGGGAAATGTATTGCAGATGAGCTGAGCAAGTTTTTGAAGTTGGCTAATCAAAAGCATTTAGCGTCAGTTGTTTATGTGCCTGTGCCCCTTCTTCTACTCGACTGATCAAACCCTACCTTGATTTTATTCATATCTCAGATGCAGACAGCTGTCACAATTCTTCCATATCACTGTCATGCCCGTGAGTATGCTTTGCTGTGTTTATTTAGAAGACTCTGAGGAGGTACTTCAGAATAAGACATTTGGCTATTCTAGCAATCCTCTGGTCTAACACAGTCACTCATTAAGGTTCAATCTAGAACATCACCCTGGCTCTGTAGCTTGCTGTCATCTCTGTAGGATATTTCCTGTATTATACTTTAAATGGCTCAAGTGAGCCCAGAGGACAACACCAAAGTTAGCCAGCATGCTGAAGTTACAACCACAAATGACCACATATTTTTGTGATGAGTGTTTGAAGCACAGTGCAATGAGCTTTTGATACATTACATGACGTGCCCTGAATTAAATATAACTAATATTTTGGGAGTCATTCTGCTCTGGATTCAACTACCAATGCCCGCTCTGCCCAGTCTGAGCTTGAGAACAGGAATACCAGTCTAGGAATTTATCATGTACAGAGCATCCTCACACAGAAAGAATCAATGAGCACAGAAGACAATTTTGAGAGTAATTCTGTGTAGAGTTGAAGCTTTCAATTCTTTAGGGGCCTATATGTGAGGCATATATGTGGAAATCCCGTTAGGCCACGGTTCTATTCAATGATATGGTTCCAACAATTTGAATTATAGACCTTTCTAAAAAATTACTTGGTCAAATACATTTAAGAGAGGAACACCGCTTTGTCAACCTTGGCAGTACCAAGCTATAGAGAAGATTATTACAATTCTTTTATTATCCATGGTAAGGTTTCTTTTAAAAAAAAAAACTATCTGTAGGGATCAAAATTAGATGAGTAAGCATAAAGTGAGGCCATAACCTACTTTCATTTGTTCCCCTCCATAAGAGTTACAAGATGTATTGGAGGTAATTCCAGAAGATATATCAAAAGCTTTAGTTCTTTATCAGAAATAATTTTCATTTTCCAGTCAATGCATATCTTATTTCTTCCACCATTAATTCTCCTATGTGGTCTCAATTATATCAGTAAGAAAAGTGGGAAACAATCCATCCTGACCCCAGAATTCTGAATTAATAACATGTTCTTTATCAACCTATAATATAGATTAATGCACCACAACTTGCGGGATGATTAAAATGACCCTTTGTTATGGGAATCAGCAGCACAAACCTGTAGAATTTAATTGCAAGAAAGTTCAATATCACATACCCCTGTACTTTAATCCATTAGCCTTGCTATGCAGTTTGGAGGTTAAAACGTGGCTGTAAAAGAGAATCACTTCCTAGTATCATCAAATGTTTTAATTTCTAATGAAAGCTCATTATTTAAAAACATTTAATATCATTTTTTTTCTTCACTCTCAGTGCTTTGAAAATTAGGTAGAGATTCACAGATTCTTCAAGTTGCCTTTGCACTTTAAATTCAATTCCAGCTAAAATGCACTCGTGACAATTCTGTAATTCACCTAAAACCCAATTTAGATAGTAAAGAATATCTCAGGACTAGCTGATTAGTCGGTTATAAGTAAAACAAAGTCTTGCTTCAAAATAATTTTTTTAAAGAACCCTGCTAATCATTTTGCATCTTCAGATAAAGGACTGCTATTCCTCCAATATCACAGAATAGTGATTTTTATACCTGTTTTAGTAATAGAAAAATTAAAATCACAACATATCTAAATTATGTGACAATATTATTAAAATACTGTCTCATTTTGTATGTCTCCAGGGAAAATATAATCACCATAAGATGACAAAAAAAGCATCATCCTAACCTTGAACTCATCTCAGCTAAACTGGATCACATTTAACTCAGATAAATGAAGGGGATGCTGATGACGCTACTATAGAAGTGACACACATCTACCAAAGGACGCTAACAGCCATGATTTTTCTCAGATCACAGTGCCTTTTGTGAAGACTTGTCTGAAATAAATATCACCTCCTAGCAGTACAGTTAGGGATTTATTTTTCCTGTCCCGCTTGAGCTAATTTGGAAAAGAAAGCCAAGAAATAACCTGCTATGTTATAAAATGTAGCCTATGCAGGAGACTAACCCAATAAATTAAATGTTTTATTTTTCCAAAGGGGAGACTGGGTATTTTTCTTATGAACTTACTCAAAGTAGCATTTTGTAAAAATAATAAAGTCTCTCCCATATTTCAATTGTAAATCTCAGTCATTAACAGTGGTTCTCTGGGCATCTGGTTTAATGCTCTGGATCACAGTTTTTTTTTTTCATTTAAATTAAAGTATCTAATAATGAAGTCTCCTTCCTATTATGTATTAACTTTCAAAACACAAATAATCCTTTCAGTAAGTACCAATTAAAATACACCTACTGTTGTTTAGATTTTGGAAATTACAATCATGTTATTTGGTACTTGTAGGCTTTGGTTCTATTTATTGCTCAGCTCAGAATTCTGTAATTTGTTTTCCTCTGCAGTTAAATGTACTTTTGACTCTGAAATTGTATAGAATACAGAGGAAGGCAAATAAAGCAAAAAACTAGTTGAGACCACATAGTAGGCCAAGGCAACTCTGCTGCAATGTGCAATCTAGCATTTCTCACAGTCTTAACAACTGTGAGAGGAATGAAGGCCCTCGGAATTCATATCAATGGTGATTTAGTTTTTCCTGCAATTTATTTCACCTTCTACACTTCCATATCTTGGTTTATAAGGGGCAAGGGGCAAATTATGAAGGCCAAGGAGGATTAGACAGGTTGTAAGCTTTAATGCAGCTTAATGTCTTTTAATTAAAGCTACAGGATCTTTGTTGCGATTCCCAGAACATAGCATGTCCACAGCCATGAGCCATCCGACCAGCCAGATGTGCAAAAACCAGCACCTGGATTAGATGCTGGAAGGCCTCCACAGGAGGGACAGGGTATTTAATAAATTAAATATCTAATGAAACACGCAGACAACACAGATATAGTTACCTCATCTAATTCCATTTCATCTGGACTCTCCCATGGCTTGATAAATTTCCCACGAGATTTCTTCAAAGGCACAATTATTATGTAGTAACCTCTGCACAGGGATGGATAGACAAAAATAAGGTTAGTTGAGAGAGGAGAGAAGATGGATATGCCCTCGAATCTTCCACAGACCAGTGATTGAGATGGAAGGCAAATTATGGATATGGGTTAACTTGTCCATTTCTTACATCAATGACAAATCACCACCTGTTCGTTCAATTTTAAAAACAACATGGGTACGCATTAATGTGTGACTCTGATGATCCTGTATGGTAATATCACAATGGTTGGCTGCTCTTTATTAGGCATCAGAAACCGAGGAGACATAGTTTGTTAGGACCTCGGTGCTGGACACATATGAGGCAGTTATACTGAAATCTACCACTGCAAGCTGCTGAGTCAAATACTTTCCATGACATTAACTTATAATAGGGTTTTTTAAAGGAGCATATATAATAAAATTACTCTTTGTGTAAGAATCTATTACTTTGTTTATACAAACTTAAAACACGTTTGGATAAAAAACTAAAATGACAAATACTCATAATCTCCCAACAAATAAAGTAAGATGTAAAAATTCTTCTCTCATTTTACTGACCCCATTCTGAAATTAGGGTAAGTTCCATAGTAATTTGGACATTTTTTATTAAAAGCCTTCAACATAGGTCTCCACTGAGTGATAATTTATAGGAGAAGACAAATGTAACTGGGTCTTCACAGTGAGAAAGCCCACTAAAATGTACGTGCTGTATAAATTCACCTGTTCGACAACAGAGATAGGCTACTAGCAACGTTGTTCTGTAACTTGAATACAGTGCATACATTTCACGTGTGTTCATATGTGGGCACCATGCTCATACCAATCTCTGGTGCAAACTCTGTAAGGACTTTGAACACAGCAGATAATAGCTACGAGCACATCCATCACTTCCCACTTCTCAGGTGAGATAGTAAATGTATAACCTTGTTTTAGTCTTCCAGCACAGTAGTTTATGGACAACCTAGGTAAAGGCTGTCAGGCTGTAAGATCAGGTCACAGACAAATAGGTCAGGTGAAATTGAATAACTGTCCAAATTAAAACAGATAGTAAGGGGATTCAAAACCTTCACGGTGGTCTGATCCTTTTCTCATTTATGCAACATGAAGTCCTTTTTATCAGTTAGGCATTCATTTTCTTTTTCATATCAGTCAGCCATTCATTTTCTTTACTACAAATTATGATGATCAAGAGGAAGAGGAGAAGGAAGATTTGGAGTGTGTATCTTTTAATCGATTAATTTAGTGAGATTTATTATAGAAATGTAAACATACATAGACACATGCACTGGAATATATTCATTCACCTTTAAAAGAGAAGATATCGCATAGCACCACAAGGGATGGCTGTCACCACAACATGCACAGGAAAGCCTTGTTCTACTCATCTCCTAGCAAAACCTGTCACAAGCTCAGTAAATTCTCAGTGATAACGAGCTCTGTCTCCATAAACACAGTCTAAGCTAAGCTGCTCAGTACAGTAGGCCTGGGAATTTGTGGATACAGAGGACTTGAAATGTGACTGGCCAGAGCTGAGGTACTCTGTAAAGGAACACTGGGTTTTGAAGGATCCATATGAGAAAGTAGAAAGAAAAATATTTCAGAAACATTTTTATGATTGTGATCTCATGTTAAAACTACAGTACTCTGGATCCATTGGGTTAAATGGAATATGCTATTAAATCAATTTCACCCATTTCTTTTTGATTACTGTGGCTCCTAGAAAATTTAAAATTTCCTAACATTGCTCTTCTCTTGTTCACTGCACAGCGCTGCTGTAGAGTACTCAGATGAAGGCGTGGTACCTGGAGATATGTCTGGCTCAGAACTTGGGATTTGCTACTACCATGTGGACCTCCTTGAGCCTCATTTGTATACTCCAAAAACTGAGGGTAAAAATATATCAATGCCCCGCTTCTTTCTGTGTGTGTGAGCTGCTTTGAAGCAAGCTTCACTTTGACTGCTCTAGATGAAAGCTATAGGAATCAGTAGAGAAAAAAGGTTAGAGACATCTGACCACACCAGTAACTAATTGCTATGGGGGAGGCAGTTCAGTTCTTATCGCATGGCCCCATATGGGGGAAATAAATGCACCCAAAGGGCTTAGCACAGTATTCATAGTGCATAGCACTACACAGCTGCCACCTGCTACAGGCCAGGCTGACCATCATGGTGAGAGATGCATCTGAGATGTCTTATTCATGAGGACCGATGCTGTTCAACAGGACATGGGTGAAGGAGCATATGAAACGCTGCCCTCCAAAATTGAGAATTCAAGTCCAATCAGACAGTTACACCAGAACTTTTCTCCGTGGTGCTCTGAGCATCTAATCAAAAGATACACACAATCACATCAGGTAGCCGTTCATTTTCCTCACTACAAATAATGATGATGAAGAGGGACAGGACAAGGGAGACTTGGAGTGTGTGAGAGAGGCAGTATCTGATTTTGTGATGCAAGGTAAGCCTCCTCCTTCTCCTGTCCTCCCGCCATCTGCAGGATCTGCCCATCGGGTCCATCACGTGAAATGAGCATGCAGAACAATGACAGACGCTGTGACTGGGTGTACAAAACAACCTTGCAGATGTACCTGATAAACACATTTGTCACAGAACCTCTTGCTTTTCATCCTGACTGCACCACATCAGGAGAGCGCCTCTGCTCCGAACAATATTTACATAATCAGAGAGTCCCCATTGTCCACTTTCAGAATCATAAAAATCAAAGCTAAGCTGATGCCTTGTTAATTTTTTCTCTGCTTTCATGCACTTCGTTGCCATTCTGGTACACGCACAGAAGAGTCCATTCTTTCTTCCGCAGCACTGCCCCACTATCCATTTGCTCGTGGCTGGGATAAGAATTGAACTGCCTCCCCCATAGCAATTAATTACCGGTGTGGTCAGACGTCTCTAACCTTTTTTCTTTACTGATTCTTACAGCTTTCATCTAGAGCAGTCAAAGTGAAGCTTGCTTCAAAGCAGCTCACACACACGGAAAGAAGCAGGGCATTGACAACCTGGAATTCTGTGTTATAGAGAGATGCTTGCCCGGGTTAAATCCACACTTTCAACTCTTGTTCTCTGCAACTGAGGCTCTGTGGAGACCCACGTTGTTCCCTAACCTACAACCCAGCTTCCCGGAAGAACGCTGCTTCCTCTGCAGTCTTCTCGTGTTTCCTCCCCTGCCCATGAACCTCACAAGCGGGAGTCAGAGCTGCTGCTTCTCTCCTTGCTGCTGCATATGTACATTTTTTCCTCCATCTTCTTATTGAAAAATACACCAACCCCCTTTTGAAGTTCATGTAAGTCATCTACATCATGCTCTTGCATCACTGATTTCTGACTGAGAAAAAGACCAAGTTCTCCAGTATCTCCTTTCTCTTATGGAAGGGTGAGGTGGACAGGGTGTGTGTGTATATGTGTGTGTGTACACGCATGTGTGTGTGTGTACACGTGTGTGTGTGATTCAAACTTTTCTCCCTTCTTTGCAAACTCTGACATCAACCAGGGTGATTTTAATGTCCACAGGGCTGCCCAGAGCACCAACCAAGGCTCTCTCGTCCTTCAGTTCTTCCTTTCCAAAGGAATCCCTCCCCTAATCTCACTGAAATCTACAGCTGCCACTTGTTGAGCCTGAATGACAGGGAGCCGAACACAGCTTGAGAAATGAGACCTAGGGTGGAACAATGCCATAAATCCACAGTCTAAGTGAGATCCTGCACATCGCTGGAAAGTCAAGCTCAGTGCAGTTTCTCCCTCTACCTAGTCCTTCCATTGTCCATCATGACCTTTTCAACTATTTTTGTCCAGCTTCACACTTAAGAATCAGATGGCCTTAGCCTTTATGTACGGAAAAGATGCGAACAGTCACACAGGAATTCCAGTGTCATCGGTCTACCTTCAGCTTTCCTTTTGCATTGTAGAAGGGCTGGCCCTATGTTTTAACTCTAATAACTATTTCCTGAACTGGTTCCCATTCTCTCACTCTCCTAGCAAGTTTACTAGACTCTTCCCCCATGCTTTATTGCCTCTTTCAACTTCTTCCTCCTCACTGGATGCTTCCCAGGGCCTTTATGCACACATACCTGCCCACCATTTACAAAACCAAACAGAGCGCATCTCTCTCCCCTTTCTGCCAAAATTCTGCGAGAACCTGAAATGTTCTTGCTATTCTCCATATCCTTTCCTTCCACTCACCCCTCCATGGCCATACCTATATCTATATAGCTCCTGCCTCATCATTTATGTCACCAACACTGCCAAGGGTCTCGGGGCCCACAGTTATACTGCCTGCAAAGGAGAAGTTATGATTTTTTTACTTTATCCTCTAAGTAGAATTTTACTCTATCAGGAAAAACTTCCATGAAGCATTGTCAGATCTTTCTTTGTGATAAAGCTTTCTTGTTTTTCCTAGTTCTATTCCTTCCTGTGCTAACTTGATTTCCTTACCGAGGTTTGTTATCTACTACCTAGCTATTAAATAATAATGGCCCTCAGGGCTCTGGCCAAGTACTTTTCTCTGGATTCTTTTATCATCCTAGGAGATCTCATTCCAATTCATGGAATAAGTTATGAGTTGTATGCAAATAATTTAGAGATTCATGTTTTCGGCCCAGAACTGTCCTCTGAACTCCAAAGGTTTTTGAGATTCCAACTTTATGCCTTCCTTTCTAAGTCACAAAATACCTCACCCTCGCAGTGGGTAAAATGAAGTAACAGGCCTCCTGAAATAAATCGTGCACTAATATGGCACCATACCTGTTTTAGCACACATGCCAGGAAAGTAGGGGTTATCACAGCAGTCTGCTTTTCTTCCTTCATCCCTCATTCCCCACCTATCACCCCTGATCTATCATGTCTCAGTTCCAGATTCTCCCTTTAGTGCACTCAGCCCTCTCCATCTCTCCTGCCAGGCCTCCGGTCTCACTGCATTTTCTCGTACGTGGGCAATGATCTCCTAACTTTCTCTACTCCCTTTAGCTTTTTCCAGTCTAGTCTCTGAACTTTTCATTCTACAATACAAAGTTGATTGTGCCATTTCTACTTTCTAAGGTGTTTCAATAGAGCTTCCTTTCACTTCAGATAAAGACTGAAACGTATTAGAAGACACAGCTCAATCCTTCCCTCCACAGTGTCTGAGTTATACCTTGATGAGCTTTTGAATTGATCTTGATCCATTCTGTCATTAAACTCTTGATCATTGTCTTACCAGCCTAAAGCCTTCTGTTCCTCCTCTATATTAATGCATCTTTTTCCTCAAATAATAATTCACTTATTAGTTTCTAAATGGAACTTTCCTTCATTGATTAGATCAGTTATCCCTATTACATGTTCTCAGTAGACTATGTTTCAGTATAAAATTTTCTTATACTGCCTAAGACACGTTTATGTGTTTAGAAAACATATTACTATAGCAGATGAAGATATGATTGTTTCAGAATTGGTTTAGCATTATCATTTTATCACTGGCTAATTTTTCCACTGGAAAGTAGAAGTGGGTAGGGTCTAGGGTTCTCAGGGACACATTTCTCTTCAACTGGGTAGTGGAAATGTTTGAGATCCTTCTCCAACAGAATTTCCAACTCTCAATTTCATTAAGCTTTTTCTCCTTTCTAAATGACATCCTCCCCATATTGGGTATGGTGGCACATGCCTATAATCCCAGCACTTGGGAGGTTGAGGCAGGAGGATCGCTATGAGTTAGAGGGCAGCCTCGGTTACATAAGTGAGTTCAAGGCCAGTCAGCACTATATAGCAAGACCCTGTCTCAAAAAAGCTAATGAATAAATAAATAAATAAATCCCCAAATAGATTCTATAGAAAATGTAATTCACAAACTTTTTTTCTCCAACAGTGTCTAGGTGACCCTTGTTCTAATCTTATGGGTAGTAAGGAAGATAAAATGATTCAGAGAGGAGAAAGAGAGCTGAGAGTTAATATGTGCCCTATAAATTCATATAAATCAAATCATTTGGAGTGAAATAACTCATTTGAAATGCAAAAAAATGCTTTTGGAGTTACAGCAGTTTTATATGTCGGAAAATTAAACTGTACATCTGCTTTGTTTGTCTGTCTTAAACTTGGAGTTTAGGCTCCAAATAACTTTTTCAACACAGACTTTAACTATTAAACTAATAGCAAAACAAATAACCTCAGAATCAATATATCTAGAAAGCCCAAGACTACTTATAAAGTAAGCTGTGTTTTCCCAGTATGTTCGATTTAATTAGGTAAGTTAAATCTAACCTTCAGAATTTTAATTATATTAAGTAAAGTTTTACTAATTTCATTTAATATGTTATCATCAAGGGGCCCAGCTCCATATAATTACATGAGAAGGCAAGCTCTGGTCTTTGCAGCAGTCCCACCTCAAATTCAGCAAGGCTTCTTGAATCAGAAGTCTGTCTTAGCATTCTTGAACTCTTTATTTAACTGAGAGGTCAAAATCTGTCTCAGACTGTAATGATGAATATCAATCCTTGCATACTTTTTTCCCCTATGGTCATCTGGGTATAGATTGTTGAAATCAAATGAATTCATGATAGAAAAACCATAGCAGGTTAAGTGATCTTTCCAGTTTCTGTGTTTAAATTAAAGGCACTGGATCTTTCTAGCTGTGAGGTATCAGCCAAGTAACTCTGTTGTTTTCAAACATATTTTCCTCATTTGTAAAAAGGTGGGGTGACGATGCTGACCAGTGGGATGTGGTCCCCTTTCTCTCTGCTCTGACATCTCCTGGCAACCTCCCAACGTATTCACTGATGACACTTACCACTGTCTGTGCCATGCAGGTTTCTAGGCAGCCCTGACTACGGTTACTTCTGAGGGAGCACTTAACTGCTTAGCAAGTATCTTGCAAGGGGTGTGGTGGGGGGATCTTGTTTTGACCATAAATCTACAGTAACAGAGGCAAATTATGATTTAGGATATGAACTCTGGAGCCAGAATGCCGGATTCAAGTCCTTTCGATGGTGATATTACGTGTCTAAAGAAAAGCAGGCTACCTCACAATGAGCTATACAATGAGGAAGAGGCCTTTCTAGGGATGAAATCAGATAATGAGTGTCATGTCCTTTAACAGCATCTAATAGAAATTCTACCAGTATTAACTATTGTTAATATCAATGACAAGGTCTTAGTCAAGACTTTTAGTACCTCTGGGCCTCACTGTATTCCACAGTCAATAGAAAGAATACCTACCTCTTGGGGTTATTACGAGGTTTAAATGAAGACCTCAAATATCCTTAATAATTGTAAAATACTATATACATTCAATATTTTGGCAAATGTGATGAATTATCCTTCAACAAACTGCTAATAGTGGTATACAAATTTTATGAAGCCACACTGCAAGCCATAATCCCACAAATAACTTCATAAAAAGAAGTAAAAGTAGATCCCCTAACATTGTTAATAGAAGCAAAGAAACCTAAAATTTCATAAAACACTCTCCTTCATTTCCATTTTTCCTAAGTGTAAAATTGTTGCTATGGAAGTAACTTACATTGGGTGCCTTCTGGTAGCTTTTCTCATAATACAAACTGTATAGTACATTTTGTGTTTCTTAACCACCCAGAGTAAAATTCTGCTCTACAAAGTCAGAGAAGTTCTGCCACTACCACTCACCTCTGAAAATTTGCTAGATTCTATGACCAGCATTGTGTCTACTAAATCTATTTTTAAAAACATAAGGTTGTTGAAGCACCTAGAATTCCTGGTACCAGAAACTGTCCTGCCCTTCAGATTGCTTCAGAAAGAATTTAACCTTTTCTTGGGGTCATCCCTGCTTCTTGACACAAGACAATACAAGAACCAAATGTGAAGAACTCAGAAGCAACGAGCCCTGTCTTCATTATCAATTTTATTTTTATTTTTAGGTGGTAAAGATTTGGAGGGAGGATAGGAATCACTTTCTCACAATGAACTTGGGTGGAGATAAGAAAAGTATGGTTTGGCTAGGAACAAAACAGTCTTCAGTAGCCAAAATTACATTTCCTAGGAAACAGATAGGAAGTACATTTTCTGAATGCAAATGAGCTAGCAACCTGCTCCCAGTTTGGGAATGAGTACTGTTACCTGCCTTCACATCTCCCACAGAATACAGAACAAGAGGCTGCAAACATTTCTAACCTCTGAACTTTCTAACCATTGCAAATGGCACATGATGGTACGAAGCTTCTTGTAATGCTTGATCTTAGCACATATGTCATCCTAAAGAAATGATGGTTAACTTTGTGCTATTGCCCTTTTAAGAAGCCAAGTAAACATAAATTATTTATATAGTTTTCATATAAATATGTTATTCTAAAAAGTATATGCACTTTTAATAACTTCTTGGCTTTCATTTATTATGATTCTGATGCTTTTCCCACTCAAGTACAGAGTACAAAGTCTTTTGTCTCACCAGAAAGCTATACTATGTTCTGGAAATCTTAAGTTAATTTCTAGAGAATAAATTTTTGTCAGGATAGTTTGCCTCTATTTTGCAGTTGTCTCTTCTCTTTGTAGCCACAGTTTTATCCCCTTTCTCTGACTCCTTTTTCAAATATAGGAGAATGAACATTCATACCTGAAGAGAAAAACTGAATAAGCTAAAAAAAAAGATAGAATACACTTTTTAATTTATTTAGAAGTTGGCACATGAAACTCAATTCTACCACCAATGTACTAAAAATGCCAATTTCCAGTAAAGGATAAAGCACTTTACAAGATAATTTGGGCATCAGCTTCTATAGATCATTTTGTATCTAACATCATGAAAGCTAATAGTAATGCCAGTGAATGTACTATTTTCACTTTTCACCTGTTCTGTTCTTAAATAGGCAGGCATTTTCTAATGCACTGAAACTACATGCCATGTCTTTTTTCCTGTTCTTGCATTATTTATAATGTTTTCACCTTTTCTAAATTGTTCTCATCCTTCAAGACTCAGATTAGCCATTTGCTTGTTAAGGTGCCTCCCTTGACAGCCACATTCAGCTAAAACTCCGTATTTACGCTTCTAGTGTATCTGGAAGTAGTCACTCATTCTGTTCACATTATGTGTTTTCTGTATCTGTGCTCCTACTATAATGTGTATGCCTTTCTCAATCATCTCTGCATTCCAGATACAGCACAGGAAGTACAGTTACATACAGAATGATATTTGTTAGAACCAGCTAAAGAGTCTTAGTAGATGAGTAAGATGTGCAACAAGAAACACATGCTAGTCTCTCTTGTCTCTGCAACATTCTCTGTGTGAACAGACGTCTCCCATCCAATTTCCCAGCTACCTTCTTGAGCCCCCATTTAGATGTCATTGGTTGAGGATCCCAAGGCTGAATACTTAGCCTGGGTTAAGAACTGTATCCATGGTCTCCCTTTCCCAGTCATACTTCTCTATCACAAAACTACTGTGACTGACACTTGTCCAAAGTCTTTAAATAACTTTATTTTCTAAGTTCAATGAGAAAGACTGGATTTCTCTTTGGAGCCCTGAAACACTGCCTGGCAATCTGGTGGTTGATTAAAAAAAATTGTTGTGTGTATGGTCTTGATGATAATTTCATGGGTGAATACTTATCACCAAACTCATGTGTTTTAAACATTAAAGATATTCAACAGTTTACAAATCAATTATACTTCAAGACAGTGGCATAAACACATACAAATACTTTTCACTTTTCAAAAGCAGCTCTTAAAACCTCAGAATGAATGAACAAGTCAATGTTTTGTTGGTATAAAAAAATACAATGATATTCAATTCTTGTTTTCAATTTTCTCAAGGAGAGCAAAAGAGTGGGCAAAATGTTCCCCTCTACATGCAATTCTTTCGTGTATCTCTTGCCCTTCCACCAACTTACTTTATATTCTCATTGGCAGGAACTTCAGGCAGTTGCACAGTAATCATGCCATCCAAGTTGGTCTTCCCAATGAAGGCAGGCTTGGTGCGGAGGACATCAGGTGCCGTCTTTGCTGTTACCCTGTGCTGCAGCCCACCAGCACTGTTCCCACGATTTGTTAGCACAAACGAATAGGACTTCTCCGGCTTCAGGTTGACAATTAACTTCTGTGTGGCACGGCCATCCACTTCTTCCACCATTTTTCCATCATCGTAAAGAATCTAAAGACACACAACCCATCAGAAAACTTCGGTTACCTGAGAGGCTAAGTGTATTGTGTAAGCAAATACTGATTCAGTCCTGGAAAATCTAAGCCAGGTGAATTCTAACTCTGGGTGATTCCTGAGCCCATAAGTATTCCAAATTGAGGAGATTTCATTAATTTTCTTATCAATTCTTAAAGTATAATGATGTGTTTCTATCAAAAAATACAACAAAGAAAAATGTACTAACTTTGCAATGTTTTACCTGTATGTTGTATGTTATCTGAATGGAATGTGTTCACAAATCCTCAGACTTTTCAACACACTATTCATATCACCTTTTTCTAAAGGTTTCAATCATATTCTAAATATATTCTACATTCCAAAATATGTTTGTACTCTCTCTTTCACAAACACATATGTCTTGCTAATTTTTCTCTGTGTATATCAATGTAAATCAGAGTTTATAAAGTGCCAAGATTTCAGACCAATAAGCAAATTTAAAAACTCCCAAAATCCTGTGTGTTTATAACAAGTGGCAACAACGTGAATTTCATTTTCTGGTGGAAAAACAGTAGGTTAGGTGTAAAAAGTTCAAGTTTAGAATAGTAGATCTTCTACAAGCCCTGGGAGAGAACTCCTACTGCCCTTAGAGTGGAAAATGCAAATTGCCAAAGTACCAAACTCAATCTCCTACATGACAGTCACAAATGCAAATAGCAAGAATACGCCCAAATCAAAGCAGTCTCCAAGCCTGACAAATAACTTACCCTGATGAAACGCCCCTTCCACTTTTTACCCATGATATAAAGCAACTTACTTTGAAAGGCATGGCAGAGTTATAATTCTCTGGAATCTCCCAAGACAGTAACACTGAAGTCTTCATTACTGCTTTGACATGAAAATTTTTTGCAAACACTGCTGGAAAAGGAAAAACAGTGTATTTAAACTATTCCTAAAGACACAGGACCTGTCCTTCTCACCATGGAGCACAGTGTTTACACTAGATGCTGCCTACATTGAGCACAGTGAAGTGTGATTGGCCTACCTGTGCAGAGCATTGATTCTAATACCCATTCTCAAAGATCTCCTCTTCCAATTCAGCCAACTACATTGTGTTTTCCTTACCTGATAACATGGGGATGCTGTCGGCCAGACCTGCTTGGCATTCTACAACTGAAATCTAACGCATCCAAAATGTGTTAAGTTTTACATACTTTACCTTTTTGCTTCTGCTGAATCTATTAATATGAATGGGCCGATCAGTTATTTATAGCTTGAAAATACTGATTTCCAAAGACTGATATTCCTTTAAAGGAGGAAGGCCACAAGTAGACAAATCCTACCTTGATCCACAGGTAGTGTCCTGAACTGGACACTGGGACTATATGGCCCGGGCCCTTTGCTCGTGTGAGCACGTACTTTTACATCATATGTGGTATCTGGTTTTAAGCCAGTGAGTGTCACAGAGGTATCGGCTGGAACAATAAGCTGCTCCATTGGAAGAAGGGGTATGTTGATATCCCTATATAGAAGGGTATACTTGGTGATAACGCCATTTCTCTCTGCCAGGACAGGTGGCTGCCATGATAACTGGACGGAGGTTGAAGTAGCGCCTTCTGAGTGGAGGTTTTGAGGGAATCCACTTGGAACTTCTTCTGGAACAGAAATTTCTTTCACCATCTCATCTCCAAAGCCCACTTTGTTTCTGGCTGAGAGCCTGAAGACATATGATGCTCCTTTGTGGATGTCTGTAGCTGTGAAATGATCTTCTTTTTCAGAGAACTCAAGAGTAGTGAGTGGCTCCATATCCTTGCGGCCAAATTTTAGACGATAGCCCTGAAGGGGTCCAAATGTGTCCACAGGAGGGTGCCACTGAATGAGAGCAGTATTCATTTGAGTGTGGTTAATCACAAGCCGGGGTTTCCCTGGAACTGGAGCACACAGGATATGGTAATGTCCACATTTCAATTATTGCCAAGTGGGAGTACCACCAGCAAGAAAGCTACAGAAGAAATCTAGCTCTGAAATCTACAGCCCAAACCCTTAACTATGCCATCATTTTGCTTACAAATAAAGAAAACAGAATATAAAATTATGTTGCCTTTAGTCTGCTAGGATTAATCATAATTATCACTAATGAGAAAACAGTAGTAATTTTTTTGTGGTGAGGAATTAATACCAGAAGTATACAATTTGTTTATTTAAAGTCAGGCTAGGTAGGTAAAAGTCTGATCTACTCTAATTATAAATTTTTAAAGGAGAATAATTTATTCCTAGCACACATAGAGAAAGACATCAACAAACTAAACACAACCGAAACTAAATGCAATTCATTGAAAGAAGAAGACAGAACACAAAAGGAGGAAAAGGAAAAGATTTAAAAAAAACAAAAAACCTGGAAACACGAAGAGGCAATATGTAAAACGTTAATCTCAGGGATTGTTTATCTTCTTTCTATATTTTATGTGTCAGAAAGTTGTGCCCCAAAAGGGGATGTGCTCTACTCAAGAACAAATTCTTTAAGATGCTTCTTTCCTTAACCAATAGAGAAATCATTTTGGTTCCCAATGTATGGAAAAACAGACACTGAAACTTGCAGTGGCAATCACATAGACATGTGGACCTGGAAACCAAACTATTGCATACTCATTGTATCTCAGGGAAAAGACATCCAGACACCTTCATAATTAACTAGAGAATTTGTAAAGTATAGCCCATTTGTAAGTTGGAGAGTATTTGAATTATTTCCTTTATTTTCATTTTTTATCAAACTCATATGCCACTTTAAAAGAGGTTACTTTGTCCTTATTTTAAAATTTTATTCATATTTTATTTTAAATATATTAACTGTCATTTTAGTTTTATATAGCACTTAAAGGTAGACATTGCCAGGCTCCATTAATTTCTATGTATTTACAGCATTTGCGTCACTTGCTTATTAAAATATGAGTGATGTGGTAAGGATAAAACACTGGCATATGCTAAGAAAAACCTATGGTTAAATGGGCTATATGCAGAAAATATCTTTCAAGAACAAAATCCAAACTGAGCATGGTGGCACATGCCTATAATCCCAGCATTCAGGAGGCTGAGGCAGGACGATATTTGTGAGTTCAAAACCAGCCTGGGCTACAAAGTGAGCTCAAGGCCAGCCTGAAGGGCATAGCGAGACCCTGTCTCAAAAAAAAAAAGAGAACAAAATCCAATTGATACTCCAGGGTAGAAATGCAACTATTTAAGCCTCACATTCAACAGGAACAATGGATTTTATTAAATGTTTATTAAAATTTTCCAAAATTTTGGCTCCAAGAAACCACATAATGGCATGTACACTGTGCATCTTCTAAGATGCACAGAAATCAAGGATAAATAGAAGTACTTTTGATACACTGATACAAACCACAAATAAAAATTATATTCTAATATTTGCTAGCTGTGATACTGTTTTCTGCTGTTTCACTTTAGAATACAGCATCGGTAAGGTACAAATCTGGAGAATGTAACTGACAGAAAATTTTAAGGCAAAAACCAAATTAACTGCGAAAGTGTTCATCTGTTCTTCAGTGGAAGTCCAAATTAAGTTGGAGTAATATATACTGTTTTGGATGCTGGCATGCACTTTCCTGTTTTGGGATATAAAGGTCAGTTGGCTTGAAATCTTGAGATTAAGTGATGTTCTAGAAGTCATAGCATCAGCTCTGACCTACTGGCTTCCACTGCATTGCCAGGAGCACTTCCGTCTCCCCTCCACTGTCTTTACTCCTTCCCCAGGGAGAAGTCTAACTGAGTCTGAAATCGATGAGACAACCAGCCTGGAAGCACCAGGCAGCATGAGTGTAGAATTTAGAAAAGAACTGATCGCTGAGGCAGGGAGAGGAGGAATTTCTAATACCACCTCCTCAGGGACCAGCCACATGAAGAGATGCCTTAAATCTCCATAAATGTATGAATAATAGAAATAACATATGTGTTATGGTTTGTGTCTGTGTGTCCCCCCAAAGCCTCATAATGGTCATGGGGCAGGCTTTTAGAGTCTGACTGATGATGGGTGTGAGAGCTACACTCGCCCTGGGGTGGACAGTTTGCATATGTAAGGGAGAGGAAGAGGGTGCTTATGGCCATTCCTCCCTTGTGTGTGCTTGTTGCTTTGGCTGTGTTCTGCCGTTATGAGCTGTATCCCTCTGCCATGTGCCACTCTGCCTTGTAACCTGCTAAGTATGGACTAAAACCTCCACAAACTGTAAGCGAAATAAACCTTTCCTTCCTTAATTTTGGGCATCAGGTATTTTGTCCCAGCAAGGACAGAAAAGTAACCAAGACAATAGGCAATTTAAATGACAGCTTAGGGCTCTCATGAGTTGTGTTATCTTACCCAGGGAACAAGTAAGGTTTTCTTTAAAAAAAAAATAACAGAAAAACCTAGGAGAAGTCTACAGAATTCTGTATCTGTTTCAATAGGATTCTCCAGAAATTCATGTACCAGCAATAGAATCACTCCATTTGGAGCTTCCAGAACCTGTATGTATGAAACACCTACTAACTACTCTCATTCTGCATCATCTGGTACTGTGCCACATAGGCAGTTAGCAGGGAAGTAAAGGTGGATATACAGGGGGCTATGCCATCTAATGCATCTAATTCTCGAGAGTTAAGGGTATGAAGAGGTGGAAGATTTGGGTGCTCTACAGAAGGTCTTGCTCAAGGTTTCTAATACTCTAGGACTACTGTATGGGCTATTTTTAAAAGCCACGCCAACCACTGAGCTAATGGTTCTACTCAGTCCAGTATTGAAGCATGAGGGTTGGCGTGATGGAAAACTTAAATACACACTCAGAGGAGCTTAGAAGTGAGCTTTAGCAGAGCCTTAATAAACATGATGGAGAAACAGAAAGGACCCCGCTATAAGGTAAATAAGCTCACCCTAATTTATATCATGGCATAGAAATTCTTCTCCCTTTGGGTTATTGCCACTTTATTTTATTTTTGCTATGGTAAGAATAGAACTCTTTAATTTTTCTTTTTCTTGTATTCTGTTCTCCCTGCTTAAAGTGATTAGGACTTCAGAAATGGCACACATGTGCAGTTAACCCTACTTTACAATAACAATCTCCAGAGAGCTCCTCAGGTAGCCTCAATTCACCCAAATACAGAGCAACAGCGAGCACTCACTGGTCCTATGCTACTGTTTTGAAATTCTCCTCATCACTGCCATCTTTTGATCACCCTTAAACACAGCTGTTCAGTCTAGTACTGAAATCCATGTAAAGTATAGAGACAATGTCAAACTAATGATTTTTTTTCTGGTTAACACAAACATCAGGGCCTCAGGCAGTAGACTAGTTATTATGATACAGAACAATGGGAATATTAACAGAGAAACTACAAACATGTCAAATCACTGAAACATAAAAGCCAATGCTTCATTCAAAGCATCCCTCAGGTTACATAAATCTTACATAGATTACTTAAATTATGACCAGAACTTTTGATTTGAAGATATGATTGATTACTGATTCTAGAAAAAAAATGTAAAATAACTAACTCCATGCCTTAATCAGAATTCGTAATCTAAAAGTAAAATTTCATGAGAATTCTTGAGTTCTCAGCCACATATTTATATGAGGATATTTTTGTGATAGCCTATGAAACAAAACAAATTAATGTGCTCACTAACTGCATGTGGATAAACCATGACTAGGGGATGCTGACAATGGATGCATTGTTACTTAGGGAAAATTAGAGCGTTTCTCTTAAAGGAATGATAACATCTGGGGGTCTTACTTTCGTCACAGGCTAGGGAATGAAAAAGTATTTAGGCATGTTAGTTATAAGCATTCACTATCCCCAAGCTCAAGACTATTGATTAAGAAAGTCCTGATACTGATAATTAAAATTCCACCAGTATTCTATTGATGAATAAAATACACATTTCTTAGGGATATTTTGCACTGTGACTAATGTCTGCTAAACTAGTTTAAATGGCATTAAATTTGATAAAACTGTTCCTTATCAATGATTCTATCTTTGCTCTAAATTCTCAACTTTCCCCTCCACATTCCATCAGCACCACATTACAGACAATCGGAGTTCGGTGCTTCATGTAAGACATTTCACAGTTATGAAGTAGGTGAAAGAAATCTGTTTTCCTCCACTTTAGATACAATTTCAGGAGCTTAATATTGGTCGTTTACCACCATGCCCCTCATTGAACATGGACTTCCTAATTAGGAAATCAAATTTGTTTGATACTATAATATTCTTTAGAGACACACACACACACATACACACACACACACACACACACACACCATAAGACTGCCTTGAAGGAGATTTGCCATCTGTAATCCTGCTGCTTGAGGCAGTTCCAGGTGGCAGGATGCGAGCGAGGCAAATCTTATGACATTTAGACAAATTTGGCAGTGAGCATGGCACCCAGGAGGGTGCTCAGCTTCACAGCTGTTCTTTGCTTTATGCCTTTACACAGAGGTGTGTTCCTAAAAAGTTGTGTGAGAAGTGATTCCGGAAGAGTAAATCAAATCACAGCTTAAATGTTCCATGGGAGATTGCTCTAGGAAGGTATTGGAAGAGAATCCCTTTGTAATTATCTCTTAATTTATCAGTTCTACAATGCCAGATCTTTTTTCATGCTGGTTTTTCCTAATGTGGCCAGACAGAGTCAATCTAAAGACCACTGAAGAGGCTTTGTTCTTGAGAAAGAAGCAATTTTATATTAGTTAGCTTTCTCAAAATTCATTTTCTTTCCTGTTTCCCATCTTTTGTGCAATTTGCCTTCTTTAGAATACTCACAGTGGAAGGGAAGGAAGAGAAAACGACAAAAATAAAATGAAGCCAGCAACAAATCCAAGATGGCAGCTCTTCTTCTTAGAAGGGTTGGTCGATGGGGAAGACTGAAGTCACTGTGTGCCTTTGCTGCCTGCGTGCTTCCTTCTGGACTTTATATTCACAACTCTCCATCACATCTAACCCTCAGCTCAGTACCCTTCCTCATCAAGATCTTAGCAGTACAGTCTTTCTGATACTTATCATGCCCATCTACCTTCATTTTTCATCTGCTCCTATCCTGGCAGTTTATTATACATGCATTTGTTTGTTAACTAAATAATCTGGGGCAGAAAATGAACTGCATGAGAGCTGCTTATTTTTATGGGAAGGGTGCCAGACACATGCGAGGTACTGAAAAAGTATTTGCTGATTAACTGAATAATTTAGAGAAAGTATGTACTCACATTTTTTTCTTCTGAACTAAGAATAAAAATTCACAAAAGTTGACCACAATGCACTTCTTTCCTCTGATTTTATCACGGTAAAAGAATAACAGAGTCCACTCAACGCCACTGGGAAAGTTAGCACCATTTAGTTCAAGGCTCAAATGCAAACAGACACAATTACCTGCCCCAGTGGTGGACACCAGCTTGGGTTTGCTGCGAGCGCCATCTCCTTTCGTGGTGTAGGCTGTGACAGTCAGGGAGTAAGACGTTTCAGGCTGTAGCCCAGAAATGATCATGTCCTGAAATGACACAATAAAGTCACACTGAGTCAAAACATGCCACCAATGCCCTGGGTAAAACCAGACATCCATTTTCATTGTGTGCATGCTAGACATCCTCTGAAGCTGTGCGAAGGACACATGGAGATATCATGCTTAAAGCTCATGCTAGGGGGATTTTTTGCATGCTGACATTGATGTTGGGTCTTCAGGTATCCTAAGAAGCAGATTTGAGGAGATATTAGTTAAAAGACTTCCTGAACTGTTGAATCTAAATCTGCCTTATCCACTAGGTTGGGAACCCAGATCCAGTGAGTTCACCCATCTGTACCTTCTTTTTCCAACTGAAATTTATAATAATAATAGTTTCCCAGAGTGTGTTGCGAGATTAAATGAGTTCTATGAGATAAGCTCTAGAACTGTGCCTGGCTCAGAGGGAGCATTTCATACACTAGCTGGTTTTTTTGGTACCCGGATTGAATTCAGGACTTTGCACTTGCCAGGCAGGCGCTGTGCCGCTGAGCTTCTCCCCAGCCCTGTAGCTGTTATTTTATGCCAACAGCTTTCCCTGTACACCTACTGCAGCCAACCCACAGACTGGTGGCAGGGCAGATGCAAGAGGAAGCTGTCCTATCACCAGGTACGCAGTTTGCCAGATGGTTGATCTGTTAGACCTAGATATTCTAAGAGCCCAAGGATTTTCTCAGGACTCCAGGAACTCATTGCTAGCTAATTGTACAGGCTATGAACAAAACCATTATACACTGAAGAGAGACTTTTCCAGTAACCTAGAGGGCAGGCCATAAACCCAAGAGCACAACACAACCTCAGTCCTGCAGTAGCACTAATATACAGTGCAATCTGACTACAAAATGTTAAATCTCACCAACTACATACAAAACCTCGGAGCTGTCTTTTAGTAAAGCTCCAAAGCTGTAATGGCAAGATGATTTTTGGACCTATTCCTTCACATCAGAGCTCGCAATATTCTTTAGTTAGACTTGTTCTAGTGTTTTCCTCAGAGTTGTATGCACAAACATACACACACACACATACACAAGGCAATATGTAAAAAAACACTTGGGTTTTTTGGGCACGGCTATGTTTTAAAATTGAATACAGGTAAATCTAAGAAAATATACAATGTCACTGTATTCCAAATCTAAAGGCAGTGTGAGTGTTAGGTGAACAGAATAGATTGTGTGGAGAGGAGTAGGATTTTTCTTAGTGAGGCTGTTAACAGGTACTATCAAACTCAATCGGCGATGCTGATCTCAAATATGACAGCTTTTGACAAGGTGCTTTTTCAAAAGAGTAGGAATATCATCATTGTGGAAATTGAAGCATTTCAGAATCATCCTGAAGACCCATGGGAGATTTTCTTTTTTTCTGTCAGAAGATAGGACTATTTGTAGAAGCTATTTTACTTTTAGGACCCTGAAATGGTCTCACTAACATTTCAGAGGATATCAAAAGAGTAAGGCATTTCAGAGCCATATTCTAAATGAGGGTAGACACACTGCTTGTTCAAAAATATTGTGCTAGGCAAATGCCAGCTTCAGAGGTCCCCCTAGATTACTGCTGAAAAGCTAAAGACAAGCTAAAACCTCACAAGAAGTAAGGCTTCCTTCTACAACCAAGTTGACTGGCATTAAACGCATGCAATCTGGGGCTCCAGGAAGCTTCTCATTTATACAAGTAGGTTTGATCACACATGCCCTTTCTCTTGCTCAGGTTGGTACGGGATACCATAGGTAACACAATCTGAAGCTGGAAAATCCTCTCCAATGGGACAACCTCAGCTGGACACATCTCTGTTTCCAAGACTGTGCCACCTTGGGAGTTAGGGTTTCTTTCTGTAAGTGGGAGATGTGCTTCCTTTGTGGTTTCAAGATCCACAGTGAGGCAGTTTGTCTAATACAATGCCACCCTTCCTCATGCCCCTAGTCCCTCCATGTTGTGCCACCACTCTTATCCTTGTCTATTAAAAGCTGACCTTGCTGAGGTCCTGATACGGCATCAGTGTGCTGTAATTCTATCTGGTTCTGGAAAATCTGTTCAAATGCTGAAACCTAAAATAATTATTTCTGACTGTATCCCAGGTTTGTCTCCATCCCCTATTTTTCTGCTGTGCTAAAGTGGCATATATATTTTAAAAGTCTGCAGATCATTTCCCTATGATTATCCCAGTGTTATCTTAAATTCAGTATAACAAACTTAAAAATCTCCCCCAGAAGCAGACCCCTTCCTCACACAGTTTAATGAACAGTAACACATCTTTAATGTTTACGTACTACCTTTGACCTTTTCTTTTCCTAATTCTTAGTCATCAAGCTTTTGTCAAATCTTCCTTTAAAATATTGATCATAACTCTCCCTTTTAAACTCCTGCCTCCTCAACTTTGTTGAATTTTGATCACTTTATGATTAAATTATTAAAATATCTCTCTTGCTTTTTTATCTGCTTTTTACTCTAATTTATCCACTAAGTCACTGTTTTTTAAACAGCAGGTAATAATCCCATTTAGTAGGTCAAAAAATGCAGTCATTATAGTCATGACCAGCATTTAAACAAAAGCAGACCCAAAAAAGGTAGAATAGACTTGAATACAAAATGTTCAGAATTTATTATGTGTTTAAAGTATGCTGTTCTAAAACTCTGATTTCGGTTAAGCATATGTGTGCATGGGATCATATCAAAGGCGTTTCTTACTGTGAGCCATTGTTATGGTTGGGGTCCAAAGTATACCTCCCAGAAATGATCCCGTGAAGTACTGATTACTGATGGGCTTTTGGTACAGGTTAGAGTATGAGGGCTCTAACATGGCATATGGGAAGGGGCAGAAACATAATGCAGTGTCTAGATGAAGGGAAGGGATCATGGAGGAATGGTTTTAGGGAATATATCTGGTTCCCAGCCCCGTCCTTTCTGTCTCTTTCTTTTTCTCTCTATATCCAGACTGCCATCAGCTTAGCAGCTTTCCTCTGCCATGTCTTTCTTCCATGACACTCCACTTCACTACAGGTCTAAAACCGATGGAGCCAGCCGACCATGGACTGGTTCTCTGAAATGATGAGCCAAAATAAATCCTTCCTCCTTTAATGGGTGTGTGTCAGGTATATTGTGACTAACACAGTCATGGCAACAGTTTATAAAATACTGTCACCTTGTCACTCTATGAGAACTTATACTTTGTAGAGATTTCCCAAGATCCAAAAAAGCCTTGTGCTTCTACAATAAACTCATATACTGATAAAAGAATACCTTTCTTACAAATTTCATCTTTAATTTTAATTTTTTGGTATCTCCCTAGGAATAAAGAATTAAAGACCTAGGCCTTTAGCTTTAGGATTTTGCCAATATTTTATCATAATTTACTCCTTAGAAGTATTTATAAATAACTTACATGAAAGGTTTCCTCTTTTTCATATTGGCAAAGTCCTGGTCAGCTGATTGGTCACGATCAGCTGGATCAGTTGCAATTGCATCTACAGCTGCTTCTGCTGTGTATAGTGTAAAAAGCCGTGCATCCCCGTGTTCAATTCTCCAACATTCACTCTCATTCATTCTCATTCTCATTCTCTCCCTCTCACTCTCCCTCTTCCTCTCACTTCTCCTGCCTCCTCTCACCCCTTAAGATGTCAAGTACACTTTAGGATCTCTCTTAGCATCATGATCTTCTGTTTCCGAATTCACAGCTCTTACTAACATTGCCATTCATTTCCTGAAGTATTATTATAGCTGGCTTCAGGCCATTTTCTGGCTATATCTTATAGACCTCTTCACATGCTTCTAGCTATCTAGACTGCAAACACTCGAGAGGTAGGTGTTACAAGTGTTTGCACCCTGCGCTATCTTACACAGGCTCTCAATAAATAACATAATCCACCCATTCAAATATATTAAAAAGAAAACATTCCTCCCTCAGTGAGATACGTGATCCACCTATTTAAATTCAAATTTTTTATAACACAAAAGATAACAGCCATTACCAGAGGAAGTTAAATCAATGCCAGATCTATGTCATGTTCTCCATGGAATAGAATATCTAACCTTGTATTGGGTTACGAACAACCTGTACGCGACAACTTGACATTTTCAGTCTGTGATGCCTCCATTCAAAGCATACCCCCTCTGACTGTGGCACAGACAGCTAGTAGCAGAAATCAATAGAAATACCATGAGCTCACGGCTTGTATGCAACAAGCAGCACCATGCTGACTTCGCAAAACAGAAAGTGAACACAAAGTAAAGATAACGTCAAAGAAAGTTTGTTAGTTCATGCATCCAAGCAAACTATGGTGACAAACTCAAGCATACTGTGAATAAGTGAAAGAATGGTATCAGAAAAAAATAGTATATAGTCTGATTTTTTGACAAAGCATTAAAAATTACTCACATGTTCAGTAGTATCATCAAATTCCCACTGATTGAGATTAAGAAGGTTGGGGGGAAACAAAATGAAAAGAAATGAAGAGAAATCTATCACTTTAAAAAGGCAACTTTGCCTTCCTCTGATTTATAAAGAAGGAAAATTAAGTAACTGAAACAGTGTACACAATAAAATTTCCAAGACTATAAGTATGTTATGATGTAGCCAGCCTCATGTACAAATGTACAACTGGGACATAAAATTAAATAGGCTGTGTAATTACTGCTACCAAAACCAGCCATATATATACATTTATATATATAAATGTATGATTTACAGAAATACAGAAATCAATAAGGTATAGCACAAAGCTAATGCTCATAATCATATCCTATTTTATGATATTTATTTTGACTTTTTTTCTGAGTTGCCTACTTTGTGTTACTATTTAAGGTAATATCTTTCATTTTATTCAAATAGTATATCCCCAATGAAGAGTTGTGCTCTGTAATGAAGTTTTAATGAATAGTCAAGAAAACAAATGAGATGGGAAGGGACAAAAGGAAAATCAGCAATTAGAAAAGCCAAAGTAGAGGAGAAAAAAAAAGAAGGGATAGAGTTGAAATTTAATACAGTTGGCATTATCTGATGCCATTAATAACAAAAGCTCACAAGGGAAGAATTACAGACAGATTTACTGTTTTGTAATGCAAACTATCTAAGAACCAAGGAAAGATATGTAAGCAAGATGGCCGTGTTATTTTCTTTTTCATTATTGCAGACTGACAAAGTAAAATGTAGTAATAATAGGTGTAGGAAATTTATAAGAACTTTCATTTTATAAAGCAATACAAAATAAAGACATGAAAATGACAGTCAGGGCCCTTTTCCAATGCCAAAGGGACACTGGGGCTCTCCACTTGCATACACAGAAGTGGCCTTCAAGCCACGGACATACAGCTGGATTCGGGATGCATAAGTGAGCTCCAATCCTAGATGCACGTAGTTAGAAAGTTTCAGAACTGAAGCAGCATGAGCTTGACTTACATAAAGACTTTAAAGCTAAATACTTATCTTAGCGTCCCACGGATATTTATTGCCCTCATATTTTTAGAGGGAAAAAAATAATGTAAAATTGGGTAGCCTGTTGTGGAATACAAGTATATTATAGGATTATCTTTGAATCACCTCCAATTTAGGAAGAAATATTGCAAAGTTCTATGATTTGTTTTAAAAGCCTAGTCACAAAACCAAGTTGTGAAATTAAAATTTATGCAACATAGCACTAATACCAAAAGAATTTTTCATGTACCCAACTATTCATTGTTATTTTTCTTAACTTGGCTCAACACAGAGGATCCCCTTTATTCTTTGGGAAATTTTAATTTTTGTTATCATCGAGATTATCTTCATTTTCTGGGACCTGAAACGGTAGCTCCCAATAAATTTGTAATTTGGTGAAGTGCGACATAAAATGCTTTCTGGGTATCTTTCTCTGAATCAAAATGTCAGTTAGTTTTTAAGAAAATACAAATACATATCTATACATATATATATGTATAGATATAGATATAGGTATATATATATATATCTCCTCACTTTTGCTTAAAAATTAAAAAATAAATAAATAATGTCAGTTCTTGAGTGGAAATAAATCATACATTTAAAACTTAATTTAATTCCCAACAGTTTTAGTACGGCAGAAAGCAGATCCTATCAGCAAAAACAGCATCAGAAAATTGTTCCTTTGGATTAAATCGATTTTTCTCAAGAAAGGCAATTTCAGGTTGAGTTGGAAAGAGCCGAATATCTATATTCTTAAAAAAGTAGTGCCATGTTTGTAATCAGACAGGGGGCCCATTTCAAAGTATATCCTAACATAAACCCATCACGCAAAAGCAGAAGTAGGTAATGTCGGAGGCTCACCTGTGCATCAGCCAGCATGACATCCTTCAGCATGGGCTGGCCCTTGGGCTCACCGTTTTCCATCCTCACATAATGCACCTGGTATCCTCTTATCTGGCCATGCTGTTTATTGGGCACCGGGGAGCGCCATGAGACTTTAACAGATGTTGAGTTGACAGCCTCTACCTCGACTTTGCGAGGAGGACCACTAGGAACTGGAACAACATCATCGGATAAAAGAAAATTATAGGCACTTGTCCCACCCAGTCAGAGCATTTCCTTTACTTAAAAATGGGTAGACCCACTATGTTTTCTTTGAAGAATACAAACATTTTCAACCACTGAAAATGCTCAACCAATCTGTTCTACCTTTTAAGAAAAGAGCAAAAAACATGACCAATGCAAAAAAACAAAATGGAAGAAAAAAAGAGTATCAGAGAAATAGAAAAACATGTAAAAAAAATGTACAAAAGCCAAGGAAGATGCTTTGAGGCTCAAAGCATTAAAGCACAAAGAGGTATTGCATTGAAATAATAACAAAAACTGATTGTTGATTGTCGTGTGTTTTTAAAGGTTTCTTTTTAAATAGCAGAATAAAAAGATTCTTGATTTTATGCATTGTCTTCTCTTTTTTCCTCATATCAAAGGTATTCCATACAACAGATGCCAAAAATGGAAATGTTGAGCATCAGTGTCTTTGAAATATGCAAGACAAAAAGGCAAGAAGAAGAAAAGAAGGCAGTTTTGAAAGTTAACTTCAAAATGCAAAAGAAGTGAGTATAAAAAGCCAAGAAAAACATAGAAGACTTTGGTCGGTTCTACACAGAAGGGCTGGACTGTGAGACCATTGGAGTGTCCTTCCAACGGCAAGAAAGTCACTGCCTTGAGACTGGGAAAAAGTGCTCGGGATGCAGCAAGACAGGCCTTTGGCAAAAATACTGGTCACAGCAGTGCTGGATAAGAAGATGAGCAGGGAAAAGTGGACAGCGTTTAGCCTATCAAGAGACAGCGGACCAAGATTGGCAGAAGTGTGCAAACTGATGTAGCGGAGGCAACATACCATCTTCATCGGTTCGAATCAACACGGACAAGCTCTCGGGGCCGGGGCCGACATCTGTGTGGGCAGTCACAGTGATCCGGTATTCAGTCCATTTTTCCAGCTGTTCCAAAAGGTACTTGGTAGTATCCGAAGGAATTCCCAAAATCTCGTGAGGCTTGTCATCTTCCCCATCCGCTGCAGTGTACTTGATGGAGTATTCAGTAATAATGCCATTCTGCTTTTCCACTGGCGGAGGCTGCCAACTTACCAAAATACTAGTGGAACTTGGGCTGGTACAACTAATGTCTTGAGGAGGAGCTGATGGCTCTTATTTTGGTAGTGAGTTAAAGGAGGATTTGAGTGAAAGGACAGGAGTGGTTGGAAAAAAAATGATAAAACAAAAGAAAAGGCAAAAATAAATAAACGAACAATAAGGGCAACGAAATAAAAATAAGGCTTAGGAACTTAAAATTTTAAAGACACACTTATGTACCTTGGCTTAGTAACATGAGTAAATCAAAGACATGAACAAATGACCAAAAATAATTTTTAAGTAATGGGTGGGGGGAATGTGTGAAAATGAAATTTTGAGATAATCGCGCCTCGAATAAAGTTACCTACCTGCGATTTAAATTCTTCTGCTAAAACAACCCCTCAGCATTTCCCACCCCCGTCATACTGACTGTCTGGCCCCACAAAGCTATAAATAATGCTAGTTTTTGTCTTAAACTTGAGATTCTGATGATGAGGCACAGATGCATTTTAAATTTTCACTTCCACATTCTAGAATGAGGACAATTCATCCACAGAATTCTGCACTGTGAAAAGTTACAATAACTGCCACATGCCCTTCCACCACTTCTAACTTAAAAAAAATAAATAAAAAGCCCACCAAACACAAAAGGGTACACCCTATCTATAAAACACTTTGCCTGACCAGCTTTAATCAGGGACGTTACCTAACATCGACTGTAGCCCAAATACAGCGAGCATGCAGAGTCAATAAAGGATGAGATGCATATTCCAAGATTTACCTACCCGAGGGTAATGTCAGGCTTGTTGCTTTTGACTGTAACATATACTTACCCTATGTCAGCTTTCAGCATTTTTATTTTAACTCTTCTTGAGACACCATTGCTAAAGAATTAGATCCCACCAGCAAATTTTGGTAAAATCAGTTATAAAATGATCTATCCCTTACAAAATTGTCAACACAGTCATTAAAAAGAACTATTTTAAAAGAAAGCCCAAGAACCAAGAGGAGGAATGATTTATGTGCAAAAGCTTTTGCTTTGTGCATAACGATGGACACAAAGCGTGCTTACATAAGAATTAAATGACAAGCTTTCATAGTGCCCCGTATAGATTAGTCACCTTCTGACCAATGATTTTCCATCAAATTAACCAACTACATCATTACTTGAAAAAATTAAAACACCATAAAGAACAACACAACTATCATCATGAGTTTTTTAGTTAATAGTATATGTTCTTAAGGAAGAATAAACGAGAGGAATAAGATACACAAACACATATATACGTATATATTTTTAAAGCGATGTACATGGTAGCATTAATGAAATAATCCTACATTTTATATTTGAGTATCACTTACACTACATTAGGGTTTTTTGGTTTTCTGTTTTTGTTTTTCTTTTGATATGGGAGTCTCACTGTGCTACCCAGGAAAATCCCAAACTCCCGGACCCAAGTGATCCTCTCATCTCAGCCTGCAGAGTACCTTGCATGCAGCTACTCACTATTACACCTGGTGACTGGAAATCTTAACACTTGTGTCTAGTGTATCAAACTGTTTTGTCTCTCTTAGTTTATATAGCTTGAGTTCGTCATTATAGTCAATCAAAATGAAAAGATTCCCTGCATTGACAAAACAAAAAATTCTTACAGGACAACCTTATAAATTTGAAGATTTGCAAAATCACTAGAATATCATTTTTACTGATTCTAACTAGAGACTTATATCTTAAATTATAAAACTATTACGTATATATTCATCAGTATTCATAATAAGGTGAGCTGTTCATATAACAGCAAGGCATCATGTATAATTCTTACTTTAATTTTATTTTTACTAGACCACTACCTTCAGACTTTCTGTTCTAGGAGAAAATATTCAACACTGCTTGAAACTTTCACTTTGATTGATTAGATAACTTTTGATGTGATTATAAAAAGTTCATTATGTATTTAGTTTTTAAAGTAAAGTTTGTAAAGTAGGACAAAATATACTACTGAAGCATGTAATATTTTTAAACTAAATGTCTTATTTTAGAAGAATTATCTTCCACAGTATTACTCATCAGTCTGCCTGCAATTTAAAGGAAACATACAGAAAATGCAGCAATTTACATGTTTTAATTTTTACAGGAAAGGAACTTTTATGGGAAAAAGCTATAATCACTAATGCATTAGGAAACAACATCTTGATTTTATATGAATAATCATGTTTTAATTAAAACAGAATGTAAATTTTATCATCAAAAGCTGTGAAAAACTTCAACTTCCTGTTGAAAATGAAATGTCAAAAATATCATATATATGCAAGGAGATTAATCTTTTAAAATATAAATTTCATGTTTGTTGATAGATCTAAATAGGAAGTCAACAGAGGATCCTCTTGACAAAATTCAACATATCCATAGTATTTATATCTACTGAGTATAGTGCTACATCAAAAGCACAGATATCACGCAAAATACCGAAGATGTAAAACTCTTCATGGTAAATAGCTATCTGTAGACTATAGGTAGTAATTATTAAAAAGTGAAGAATAGTATTTATTATGTTACCCACACTGCCCATCAAAACCAATTTCCTAGATAATATCCTATGTAAAAAAAAATCTGTTCTGGGCATAAAATATCCCCATTATAACAAACACAATTATGCTTAAGGGCAAAATTCCAAAAGGAACTTGAAGGTGAGGAAAGAAAGTACCATTTAGGATTGTAAATGTGCTTGTGATTACTCCCTCATTCTTAAAATTGTCCAAATACACATCTTCTGTGAATGTTCAGTGTTTCCATATGTACTACTTCACACTTAGTAAGAAACAAGACATGAGGACTGAACTTTTGTTCCCTGAATAGGAACAGATATGAACAAAGATGTGTTTATAGCAAAATTAAAGCCTAAATGCTTTAAAAACATACAGGTTTTGTCATTTACTGCCTTTTCATTTACCATGCCTTCCCTACCCCACACTGTAGTATTTTTGATGTAAATTTTGCCTGATAGCCTTATAATTTGCAATTGAACTGCTTTCACCTACTTTTCACCTATGAAGATCTACTGATTTCTTTGAAAGACTTTTGATTTAGGACATGGAAAAATGGGCTTTGTTATTTGGACCACATTTGAAAACTGCAGAGGTTAGGGTTGTGCTCTGATCCCCAAAGTGAGACGCTTGTTAGCATCCAGATTATGGACCAGTTAGCGCATCACTGAGTTTGTTTGTGGACATGAGCACAGAAACATCTCTAAGTTGAAAAAGGGCAGGAAGCAAGCACAGAGAGACACCTACTTGATTGCATGGTTCTAGCTGATATTTCAGCTGTAGAAGCACCAAGGCCTTGCGGAGAGCGTGCAGCCAGACGGAAGTAGTACAGGCTGTTTGGTTTCAGCCCTTGCAGCCTGTATGATGTCCCTGGCTCAATAGCGATTCGCTGCTGTAACAAGAAAATTGGACCGGAGAAAAAAACCAAAAAAAAAACCAAAAAAAAAAAAACCAAAAAAAAAAAAAAAAAAGAAAATTGGGTTGTCTTCGTTAAGATCGATGGAAATATTTTTAAATCATACATGTGTAACATCAGATATCCGTCACTAGAACCATAAAGTTATCAAAATATCACAAGAGAGTCAACAGTGAGATCAAAAACTTGACTAGGGAGATTATATAATAAAAATATCACAGTTTAAGAAGGAAGTTTCGATAGAAGACAGGATAGCTGAGAGTAAGGGAAACCAGAAGTTATAATGTTCACAAAGTTATGTAAATGCATCAGAGTAGAGGGGGACTGAGAAGTGTACACTCTTGAAATGTGTTCCACTCTAAAAGTGCATCTGTTGCTATGACAGAAAGTGACATCTGCCCCTGATACTAGAATATGGTGAACATGCACAACTGCATTTAAGCAGATGTCTAGTTCACCTCTCATGACCTTATGCAGTCAGGTCAGGAGCAAACAGTAATTAACATACAGTTACCAAGAGGTTGGAACCACAGAGATATGAAATTGCCAATTTCTGATGGGCAAAAATCTGATGTTAGTCACTGAGGAAAGTGGAAAAATGTCTACGATCAGTACCATGAATCTCAGTGCATTTACGCTAATTTGACAATTTCCTTTTTCCTTGTGAATACAGAATAAACTATAATCAATTCACAAACTTCTATAACTTTTAACACTATAAAAGACTTCTGTAAAATGATTTGTTTCATCATATGCTGTAAATCATGTATGCTTGAAATGTTCCATTTGCATGTTAGCGAAAGTATACTGTCCATAGATAATCAACCTTGCATTGCATATTAGCTTCTGGTAAAATGCAAGCAAATATGTTACCCAATAATTGTGTAAATAATTACAGGGCTTTTATCAAGTAGTATTTGATATTCACACAAACAAAACAGTCAGGGATAATTCAAATACAAAGCTAAGAACATTCCTAGAGTATTCTGACTTGCAAATAAAAAAAAAATTCTCAAAAGTTTTCATTTATAAAATTAAGAAAATAATTCTCTGGATAAATAATTTTAGAGCACAGTAGATATCCTGACCTTCCAGCACCCATAGTATTCTTAAAGGTTTACCATTCTTCCTGACTGTATTTACTTACTTTAGTTTGATGGTTAAATGATGATTTATGGTATATAAAAAGCATAAAGAGCTCAAGTTGCACTATTAACGTATGTCTTCATTTCAATTACGTAATTTTAAAGGTATAATTTATATGGGCTTTATTAGCTAATTCTAAAAGTACTACATTTAAAACTTTCCCTTCTGAGATTCTGATCAATGCAGACAGATAAAATAGAAGTTTACAAGAACCTATTAATTTATTATACCATTCAAAATGATGTACCATGAGTTAATTTCTAAGTAGTAAATTAATAGACGAGTGTTTAAGTTAAGAAGGTATTCCTTATTAGAACAAAGAAACTATTTTGCTTTTCAAAGTTCTATTTAGGTAAAAAATTATAAGAGATATAATAAAATGACTGGCATGGCTCAAATTTTCAAATTTAGTTTCACTAACACCTTTTGTACTAATGTTGCCTTTTGGATTCCCCAATAACAAAGGAAATGTGTTATTTATATTTCTATATTCTTATTGTGATATTCAATATCTTAATACTAATTTCTGCCAATTATTCAAAATACATCTCAAGAGGGATTAAATCATAACAGCTAAGGGCAGACTTTGCAAACTGTGTGGATTTAAATCCACCTCTGCCAATCAGTAGTAGAAGACTGGGCAAATTATTTAACTTTTTTGTACCTTTACTTATTGTGGAATTGAATGATGCCAGGGTCATCTCAATGCTTTCTAAGGATTAAATGAATTCTTACATGTGAAACTATTACAACAGTGCCTGACAGCATAAGTATTCATTACGATGACTTTTATTGGCATATCTTCTATAATCTTGTTATCTTATTTGCTTAAAGAACTATCCCTTAATATATGTTCACATGTTCATCCACTTTAGTATGTCAACAAATATTGGCTATTTGCATCTTCCTCTAAAACCACCGTGAACAAGTTCACTTGCCAATGACTTCTTGTAGCATATAGAACTCACTCAGTCACATGTCACCACGTCCCCCAGTGTTGGTGTATCTATGCTTCTACAACTTCATAGTTCTATAACCCGAAATTTAGAAACCTGAATAGAAAGGTGCGTCAACAGATACCACAATTGACTTTTGTTTTATTTTTTCGTAATGTCTCCATATAAACTGTTCTGTTATTTTTTTATTTGGGGTGGATGCTATTCTTCCTTTGATGAATGAGAGTTTTCAACAAGGTTCCTCTGTAGGTGTCTGAGCAAGAACGTGGGTAAGTTCATAGACGCAAAGCAATGGTCCAGTGTGATGAAGGATGGTGAGGGAGAGCAGCAGGCTCTTACCTCCTCTCCATGCTCCCCGTCCTTGTAGACTAGTTCATAGCTGGCGATGGTGTCAGAACGTGGAGGTGTCCAAGAAAGCAAAATACTTGTTTCAGATTCTGGTTCTGCTCTGAAGTTTAATGGCTGCCCTGGCACTAAAAACAAGGAGGATAAGGATTGAATTCACAGTTACCATGTTCACAAAGTTTTCCACTGGTGCGTCCATTTAATCCTTCAGAGTGTGCCTACATAGCTCAGCAGAGAACTAGGTTCCCCAGATTTTCCAAATTAACCTCTGTGCATATAACCCATTATTTTCTCCTCCAAAAACCAAGACCAATGTGATAAATACTGCTTTTGTCCTTGAGTAATGTAATACAGACACAGGATAAAGTAGCATTAGTAAGTACATGATGTATGAATGTCTCTGAACTCAATATAAAGGAAAATAAAACTACTTACACTAACAAATACTAAATGCAGAAAAGTTATTGCTATTTACAACTGCATGGAAACTTACCCTCATCCATTGCACAAAACATTCAAAATCATTTCCATTTAGGGCTTTGAAATCCCACCTTTATGCCATTAGCAGACTGCATAGGCAATCAGACTCACCTAGCATTTTTTTTTTAACCAGTCCATATTTTGAAAAAAAGAGTTAGAAAAATAATACCTGTATTATTTATAAATAACTACTTCTAATTTCAAAATTACCTTACATTAATATGCGAGGCTTCATGTAGTATTTTCCCTGGTGGCATGGAACTAATCTACTATATAAATTAACAAATTCATAAGATACACTTAATATGAGAAATATGGTACCAACTGAAGTAATCTATATTAGTAATCTCATGTTAATCATACAAACTATGCAGTGAATAATTTCAAAAAACCATCTATTAGATGCAGTAAACAAAAGGAATTTTACAAAGTTTAAAATATTTATTCGAATAACTTTTACTAACCTAAATTTACCAGTCAATACCTAATTCTGTTAGTTGTCCTCTATCCATTATGCACAAAAATGCCATATGCCGAAGTGTAACTGGAACACCTACTCTTAAATTCTTGGCCAGTGTCTGCTCTGATTAGCTGGCATCCAGGCCTTGTTATTTGTTAAACAATTTAACATTGTCACGATGTTATGGCATGTGTCAATGTAATGCACCTGAACATATATTTTTTCTCTCACAATCTGACATGAGAATCCCACACCCATTAAAAAACAAACAAGCCATTAACACTTCACAGAAGAGAATGACCTCCCATATTATGTTTTTGGCAACTTGAGTATAAACATTTTTAAACACATATAAAACAAATTATAGCTGATAACTTTAAAATAATGATGGAATCATTTTCACAAGAAGAGAAGACTTGGGAGATATAAAATATATCATTCTCTTTTAGAATTGTCTCTCTGTAGTGATGAATATGGAAATTTTTAAAATGCCCTTTATTTAAAAATAGATTGAAAGTCTACAGGGCTCTTCAAGAGTGCCAGTGTCTAGGATCTCTAAAGATCAGTTTAATCTTCTATTTTGTCAGGCTATGCCACTGTGTGTCTGCTGTGTGTGTGCGCATGCGTGTGTGCGTGTGTGCATGTGTGTGTGCCTACCCATCCATGTTTGGATAGATGCGTAAGGCCACAAATAACCACTGCTTCATATTCCAGTTGCCTTCATCATCTTTTCCCTTTCTTTTTTTTAATTACAGAATTTGAAATTCTCATTAATTGAATGCTTCCAGAAACTAACTTTCTGAACAAGGTATCAGTGTTTTGTTTTTCAGTACCTGCCCGTGGCTAACCTAGTACAATCATTCATTCTGATGGTGATGCAAAGACAGAGAAGATAAAAAAGATCCAGGAGCAAGAAAGGGGGAACAGAGGGGAATAAAAACAAATGGGCAAACCACAAAGGAAAGGAAAAATGTGGACCCAGGTTTTTACAGTATCTGCTTCTTTCATCAGAAGTTGCCAATGAATCTTTTAGGTAAAAATCTCTCAATGTTTAATGATTGCGAATTAATTGTATTCAAAAACACAGGGTGGGTGAAAGTGTTCCTATACGTTAAATTCAGTATATGGACCAATGTCCTAAATTATAACAAACATGGCTTCAGTGTGCTAATAGTCAGAGTTTCTTGGTATCTAAAGTACTACCCAAGACATAACATTCTCAGGGATCATTTTCTTGTACTTGAGACAACTACCACGAAGCTGAAGAAAAATAAAAAAGAGTACAAAATGAGTGGCTACATCTTTAAATTCCCGAATATAGTAATCCAAATGTTCCTAAAATGTGCACAAAAGAAAACATTCTAGGGGAAGGAAGTTTGCCATAATTGCTTTTTCTTTTTTTTGGGTAACTTTCGGAAACATGGGTACTTTCATCATCTGTCAATGGAGTTTTATACCAAACACAGTGTCTACAGTGTTTCTAATTTATATTTCTAGTCATGCTTTTTCCCATGTATATTCACATTAATTTATATTTATTTGTATATGTTACCATATAAATATTTACCATACAATGCTGAAACATACAATGCTGTCCTAGGCTTTATGTAGCACATTTTCCATTGAAATTCTTTTACTTCACTAACTAGTTATTTGTGTATATATATGTTCTTTAAGAGCTTTTTCAATGTTGTAATATTTCTATCACCAATTAATGAAGCATCATATATGAGAATATCTGCAATTCTCACAACTAAAGACCAAATAAAAAATACACATCTAGAACTTTAAACACAATCTTTCTACATTAATGTATGTGAAGTATGTGAGGTAAAGGGGTCAAATATGTTCACTAGAAGAAAGATCGCCTCTTTAATAAAAGGTGCTGGAAAAACTGGCTTGCCACTTGCCCAAGACTAAAACTAGACCCATATATTTACCCATGCACTAAAGTAAAGTCAAAATGGATGAAAGATCTCAATATTAAAACAGAAACACTAAATCTATTGGAAGAGAAAGTGGGTCAAAATCTTGAAGACATAGAGGTAGGCAGAGAATTCATGAACAAAAACCAAACTGCATGGGAAATACGTCAAAGAATCAACAACTGGGACCTCACTTCATTGAAAACTTTTTGCATATCAAAATCACCAATAGAGTAAAAAGAAAACCCACAAATTGGGAAAAAATTTTAGGCAACTGCCCCTCAGACAAAGGACTTCTATCTAGAACATATAAAGAATTAAAAAAATCAGGCTTCCAAAATTCAAAGACCCCATCCAAAAATGGGCATCTGAGATGAATACACACTTCTCAAATGAAAAAAAAAAAGGCAAATAAATACAGGAAAAAAATGTTCAACATCATTAATCATTCAAAAAATGCAAATTAAAACAACACTGAGACTCCACCTCATCCCAGAAAGAATGGCTATCATCAAGAAATCAACCAATAACAAATGCTGGACATGCTGTGGGGAGAAAGGGACCCTTCTCCACTGCTGGTGGGAGTGTAGGTTGGTGAAACCACTGTGGAAATCAGTGTGGAAATTCCTCACAAAACTAAGATTGGAAGTCTCACTTAACCCAGCTATTCTTCTTCTGGGTATTTTCCCAGAAGAATTAAAAATATCATACCACAGTGATAAATGTGTGCCCATGTTTATAGCAGCACAATTTGTTATAGCTGAATCTTGGAAATGACCCAAGTGCCCATCCACTGAGGAATCGATAAAAAAGATTAGGTATTTTTATACAGTGGAGTATTACTCAGCTATAAAAAAGATAAACTTGAGGGTTTGTAGGTAAATGGATGCAACTAAAGACCATACTCCTAAGTAAAATAAACTGGACCCACAGGTGTAAACATCATACTGTCTCCTCAGTATAGGAATCTGAAAGAGTGAGTAAAACTCATAACATGCAATAGATGATATGAAAGGGAAAAATTACTCAAAGACAGGAACAACTGGGATGAAGGAGAGGAGAAAAAAGAAAGAAGGAAAGCAAAATATAAACATATATGTGAATAGCTGCATTAATTTTATTGCTCATGTCTGATGGTGTATTGAAATGAAGTTAATGATCAAAATTTTTTATATTTCAACCACATTTGCATGCTTATATCTGGTAATCTGAGCAACTGATTTGAAGACAACAATATGCAATGGAACACCATTGGTGAATTCTTAACATCTTGTCTAGTGAAACTGCGTATTATCTCTAATGTTTTATTTAATAATTATATTCCCTTTAATGGTTTGAACACTCTTCCTTTCTTACATCTGGTACTCTCAGCAACATAGCTGAAGATAACAATATGTAATATAACAACCGCTGTTAATTCCTATGGTTTTGTTTTGAAACCCGGTATCACTTTTACTGTTTCTGCTTTGTTTTGGTTGATGTTTGTGATGTTGATATGCTGCTATTGTTCTTTTTCTTTACTGCTCTCTTTAAAATAAAATTTAAAAAACTTAATATAATGAAAGTACTAAAAATTATCTATTCTACCTAAAATTTCATTAAAATTAAAATAAAAATTTAAAAAAATAAAAAAGGAGGTGTGAAAGTACCGACTACACACCAAGTTTCCTACCAAATAGGGAAAGCAGAAATGAAGCAGAAAAATGCAAAACAAAATTCTTTAAAATTATATTTTAAAATATCCGTATAACTTGTAAAGTTATTTTGTTCTTGATTACTTATGTAAAGTCCACAGGAAACAAAAATTATGAGCTCGCAAGCCCTTAAAATGAAATTATAATCCCATTGCACAATGCCAATTACTTGAGTCTGAGTACAGCTATATTTTGCATAAATATCTGAATGAACGCAAAAACAGAGGATGAAGAAAGCCTAACCAATGAAAGAAAAAGCCTTAGGTAACTGAAATGCTAATACACTACAACAAATCAATATTTCAGTAAAATTTAAGTATATATCTAAAAAGATAAAAATTGGCACATATTACATTGGTAAATTATCATTTCATCTTCCCATATTATGAATATGAAATATTTTCAAAGACTCTAGAAAACCTATTATGATTAAATAATGCTTCCGCAAGATACATACTTTAAAATATATGTTTCTAGCATCCTGATAAATAATAATAATAACAATAAAAGCAACAGTCCGAATTATGGTGATAATAAAACAGAGCAAATTTCAAACAACAAGTCTGACT